TCTTAACATCCCGATAGCAATGAATATATTAAATGCTTTGACAATAAATACATTAAAATTCATCTGTGGAAGCCGTGGCGCTGTAAAAAAGCACGACCAATCATCTGAGCTGGCCCGGCTAAAATAACTGGATGGCCTACCTGCCTCTGTGCACAAACTTATCTCGTGCCCTCATTGGTCATGTACGCATTCGTGTGTGTTGGAGGAGGGGCTTTGTAAGGAAGTGACAGATTTTTCCGGCTGCGTACTTTCAAATTCAAGCGCACTCGAGCTGGTTTCTCCATTCTTACCTACCCTACCTTTAATACATCACATAAAACATTTGATAACTGCATCTCTCAATACTTTACAGCTGTTACACTCATAAACCTTAACAAACTTATCACACATTTGACTCATAAAGCTGTTTTGCTGTTTTGGTCTGGGCGGAACCTTTTTTTTGAAGGTGTTTCCTACCAACTCACATTGGGTGTTTCTTTGAGGTTAAAACAATGTCAAAGGCCTTCCTCAGGAAGAAACTGCAAAGCTGGAATATTTCAAACTTTACGTCGTTAACATCCATGTTCACTTGCTAGCAGTTTTCTTTTCCCCTCCTGTTCCTCACACTGTCAGTCAGTGGAACAGCGTGAACAGCGACAGGAATGTGTATCGTTTGCACTAGACCAGGGGTGGGGAACCTCCGGCCCCCGGGCCGTATGCGGCCCGCGAGACAATTGGATACGGCCCTCGAGGTAACTCACGCAAAAAAGATTTTTTTTTTAGAAATCTAGACCGCAAAATAATTAAACAAGCGAGTGCCTGTTTTTCCAGGCCAAGGTCAGGGTCCTTGAACACAACACGAGCCTAACGTGTCATCACGTGGTATATGTCTCGCCCGACAGGGGTTTAGAGCTGCCGGAGAGCACCAGGGCTGCTTCTCAGGTCGATTAAATGAAATCCTTGCTTCCCTCACTTGCGTCGTTTCCCTGCGTTTAGTCCCTCCCACCAGGGAAGCATGGAGGGACGCAAGGAAACCACGAGAAGCAGGGAAATGAGTTTTAAGAGCAATGGGACGTCCTTTCCTCCGGAGCGTCACGTGAAGCGACGTCCGTTTGTGATGACGCTTCACAGCTGATCGTCTGACAGCAGCTCTGTCCCCGTTATTTCCACACACCCCCGCCTCTGTTAGTATATCCAGTCTATGGTTAGTACACATTTACTGACACAAACATTTGTATCATCTGTTGTAGACCCAAATAAATAAAATAAAATAAGAACTCATTGTCAAAAAAGATAAACGCCATTCTTAAAATGTATAAACGAACAATAGTTTGATTAATATTGATTAGAGTGCACAATAGAAATGAAATAATTGAGAGAAGAAAAAAGAGATATGTTATCTATCAAAACTCAGTTAGATTAACATTCATTGGATTGCACACTTTGTTTGTTTGTTTGGATATGTAGCACATTAACATTTTAATAGCACTTAATGACTGACTGAATGGAAATGACAATAAATGAAAATGTAAAACGAAAAAAGCGATCATGAAAATGTTTCCAAAAAATGAATTAAATGATTTTTGACCACTTTGTTGTTCAGATATATCACATATTTGTAACTAAATGATACATGAATTGAAACAAAACACGGTATAAACTGAGGAGTGACTCCCGTGAGGTTCATGTATTTTCTTCACTCTGCTCTCATGTCAAGAAGCATCAGATCAGTGCATGCACTGCCTCGTCCAATCAGTGAGCGATACACAGTAAGGGGGCGGGGTGAGTATCTGAGGATTTCATCGGAGGATGGTCTGGTGGTTCCTCGGTTATCGCTCCTCCATGATCGCTCCTCGCTCCTCGGTCCTCCGGCAGAAATAAGAGCCATGGGACGGTACTCAAGATGGCGCGGGCAAATCAACTTCCGGTGAGACCGAGGAGCGAGGAAATGAAAATAGTCGACCTGAGAAGCAGCCCAGGACGTCGCTCTGGCCGGGACTTCACAAATGTCAGTACCCATAAGGAGCCGTACACATGCCGCAGTTTTTGCGTGGCTGTGTCTTTAGTTGTAAACCCAGTGGCGATCTGTTCATCTGTCATACTGATCATACAGTCAATAACTTTGTTGTTATTAGCATCTGGTTAGCTAGCTATGCTAACGAATATAAGACGCTTTTTCTAAAACCAGTGAGGTAAAGGCACATCTTTATATGATCATTATAGTTATAAAAAAATAAGAGAATAAAGTAAACAGGTGTAAAATAGGCTACTATATGACAGTAAAAAAAGTTGTTATTAATAAACAACAATACAGTTTGAAAGGGGAGTGATTTGTAAAATATCCATAAAGAAAATCTGCTTACTGTTCTGTTTCATATGGGTGTTGAGAGATGTATCCATAAATCTCTTAACTCTTAAAGTGCACCAGATTGATGCTTTTAACTTCAACATTTAAAAAAAAAATCTTCCCGGGGGAGCATTGCCTCTCGGACCCCCCTAGAGGAGGATAGGTCCCCCCACACTTAAATCATATTCACATGGATAGGAAACTAAATTGCACACATCTTGTGTCCATATATTTCTGTTTTGGTGGTCATGCCACAACCGTGCACGTGCATGCATGCGCGAGTCATGGTAAAATATCTGGATTAAGAGGTTGCTTTTTCTTTGCACAGCATGAAAGAAAGGCGAAATGAATGGGCTGTGATTTTAGTATTTTTAAGCAGAGGTCAATAATTTGTACGGCCCTCGGAGGATGTTGAAAACATTTAAATGGCCCTTGAGAGGAAAAAGGTTCCCCACCGCTGCACTAGACGGACTAAACAGCCTTACTTGTGAAGACTGTGTTCTTTCTGAGAGTGCTGCTTGTAATGAAATGACTACATGTGCCCTCTTATTAGCAGTTGAGCCACAAAAGGATGTTGTTTCTTAGATCGCTTGCTTTGATGGATTTTACACATGCTATTACTGAAACGCAATGAAATGTGCCTTCATATCAAAGGGAACAAAGTCAAGAGAAAGACACTTCTATTCTTTCATTCTAATCCCTTTTATCATCTTGCGACCTACTTCATCAGAAATATAGTAAAAATAAGTATCCCAATACTCCTAATGCACCAGTGTGGCTCTTATGTTTCTAGAATGCATTGTTGTTACAGTATTATACAGCTCTATCATTCAAACCCTTTATGCTGTATCTCACATTGTTCCCTTTAAAGCCAAATCAATTGTTTAATTTGAATGTGTGTTCCTCCCAGGGCTCACAGACAGCACAGAGGCCGATCGGACACCAACCAAGAGGAAATCCAACTGCTGCTGATCAGAAAATGGCCGCCTGGATACACTGTACTGAGCACACAGCAACACATGACGGCACAGAGGAGGGGGAAATCAGACTGAAATATGGACTCACCATGCACACTGTGGATATAATGAACAGACTGTATATAAAGTGATGACATAACTAAAACATGTATTTGTGTTGCTCTCAGGTGGCCTGAGAGGAGGTTGTATATATTGATTTCTAAGTTAAGACAACAAGAAGTCCTCTCAGAAATGTTTGTACTGCTGGATGGAGTTACACATTTTAAAGCTTTGTAATATGTGACCCGCTCTATCGAAATCAGTCGGAAGTCGCAACGGCTCATTTAAAAGATAAACGTGGATTTGCGTACAAAACTATTTTTTCGGGGTTTGGGTGTTTTGCTTGATTTTAAACAAACAAAGTCTTGGCTTTCAGAATATGAAACTTTTATTTCCAAACTCACACGATAAATACATTCTTTAAGCTTGTAAAGGGAAGATGACAGGCAATCTGCTCTTCCGCAGCTCTGCCCCCCCTCCCTCCGGCTGATATTATGAATGTAAGCGTAGAGTAATCATAAATAACACGGCAGGATCCGTTACAGTTTGTTTTCATCTGATTTTAATTAAACAAAGTCTTGGCTTTCAGAATATTAAACTTGTTTCGGCAAATTCAGATGATAAATATAACTTTGAAGCTTGTAACGGCATAATTACAAGCGGAGAACGGAGTAACTTAACGTCACAGCAGGCATAACAACAGCCGGTGTTTCTCGTGAGGGTTTTCCCCGGGAAACACGCAATACACACAAACGCAAAATTACACAAACACACACTCTCGAGGTTCCCCAGACCAGTAATCCAAACGAAAATATCTTCCCTCCGTAGTATTTTGATCATTTGCTCCGCTAATAATCAATCAGATCGATGGATTCCAGAGAAGAGGAAACTTTGAAGGCCTTTTTCTCAAAGTGATGACTCGGTGACAGTCATTATATAATGTGACATATTTCGCTTGATATTTGGAGTACAAAAACAATCCTGATATATCATCAGAAAGCTAGGAATATCCTCTTTCTAACAGTGTATACAACTCAAAATGTGTCTTCGGGTCAATGCGACTGATTTCGATAGAGCAGGTCACATATGCTTGTTGAAGATTATTCTCTTCTTTTGTTTAACTGCACTTGCTTTTATAAACATGTGTCTCCTTACCAGGCTACATGTTTTTTGGAGAGAATGTCAGTGCCAGACTCGAGTGCATTTCTTTTGTTTCCTCGCCGTCATGTGTCTGTGCTGCTAATGTGAAGCCTGCGCCAGCACACATGACCGCAGTCATACCCACAACGCATCTCTCTCCTCTGACATAAGGGTTCTCATGATCTTGAAAATGGAGGGATTGTTTTCATAAATGCAAGCAAACAGGAAGTTGCATCTGAAGTTAATTGATTTGCTCGCTCAGTTTTATCAGAATGCATTTGTTCTTATCTGGAAAGTCTTTAATTACAGCTCATGGATTATGACTTTAAATAAATTGGTTCTATCACCGTTTTGTGTTTTTGTTGAAGTAGAAAAGCTAAATAGCCGAACGAACGGTAATGTTTCGTAAAATGTGTCACATTCTGTTCCCAGCTAATCACATTTCCACACACACAAAGATGTACATCACATGACCAGACTAAGTGTTTTCCCGAAAGTAGCATAGGCAAGACTCAGGGTTTAATATGAACACTTTTATTAAAGGGATCACAGGTAGAAAAGGTCATCAGCAGTGCCAAAGACATCATTCCTCCTCTCTAACGAACTACCAGGAACCAATCACAGCCTTGCTGAGAAAGTTGCAGTATCTTAATCTGGCGGGAGACGTAAAAAAACAAGTACTCGAAAACCATAATTACTTAACACAAAATGCATATTCTGGGACCTTTATACTCGGCACACAGCAATATGAAGCACACCATTGAATACCAGCGCTGCCTGTACTGTGGCAGAGGCACAGCAAGAAGACATTAAAATGCATAAGTCAAGAGGATGCAGAGAAAAACTTTCGCACGACGACCACGAGAGATTCAATGTTTGTTTTTTTAACGACAATATATTTCTTTTACTGAAATAGCTGCGTGCACTTCTGATTATTATACACAGAAAGAGATATACACGCAGTGGCAAGTCAGTGCGATGGTAGCCAATACGCTGAGAGACATTTCATCCACTGAAGCATCTTCATTTTTACTGCTGAGTGAATTACAGCAGAAATGTATCACATCCGGCGTGGTGGCACACTTCAAACCCCAGTGTCAAACGTGAAATACTCACTAAACATTAAAAACCCAAGGGATTCAAATTGGAGCCAACTTAAAGAATGACGTTCTGACACAGACATGATACTGACTTCCACTTGTTACTAAAAATCAATTGTTTAATAAATGACTGTTTCTTCACTTTCTCACATAGAAGTCCTCTCAACAACCACAGTTACCTCCAAAGGTGCATGTTGTTAGTGTCAATAGGAGTCAACAATACAATAGAGGCTATCTACAGGAGCCGAACACATAGGCAGTCGATCAGAATACAGCATGTGATGGAGACAGACAGTATTTCATGTTTGAGATAAACTCAGCTGACATGAGTTTCTCCTTGATTTAGATTTTTAAATCAGCCTCAACACTCACATTCGCAGTGTATGTGTGTTTGTGGTCACAGGTGTGTTTGTTTTAACAGATGTGAAGAGCGGAGGCTTGAGATTCAAACAGAAAAAAACTGTTTTTATTCATTGTGACGCATTCCATACAAAAATTAAATGTCCTGATTGGCTTGGCAAAGCGCTCTTTTGGCAACTGCTCGCAAAAATCCACTAACCATTTATAGAGGAAAAGTGGGTTTTTGAAGATGAGACTGTGCGCCTCTGTCAAAACCATTCATAGATTAAACTAAAAGCAATCGCTGAAGTAAAGAAGGTAGGGCAGCTTGTGTGACATTGTCTGTGTAGGTCCATATCCTATGTGTAACTGCTGTCTGATATTTCAAGCTTCTTTTTTTGCCATTGTGCTGACTTTATGAGTAACGTATACAGTGTTACTCTGACTGTACAGAATACTAAGCAGCCAGAGGAGACGGCTGGAGGTCAGGAGGGGAACATCTGGGAGGAGATGGGGGAGGGGGAGGAGGAAGGAGATGAGATTAACCATGATGGCAGACTTTACAAACAACATCTACAATATGAGGAGGGGGAGAGGTGAATGGACAGGGCTGATGGGTTGTGGAGAACAGTTTGAGGGTTATCCAGATGAAGAAGCAGTACAAAGGATGGAGTTGGGCAGGGGTGCGGGTAGCGACGCCCCCCTCCGTGTCCTATCGGTCCATTTCGTCCAGCAGGGGTGTGGCGTCTCCGGCGATGGACATGGGCGTGCTCTCGATCATGGGGCTGGGGGACGGGCGGGGCGTCATCCTCGGGGTCTTCTTCCGCCCCTCCGCCTCTTTCTCCTTCAGCCACTGCTCCGCCATCTTGCCCCAGTCCACTGCGGAGGCGTTGCTGCCGCTGGGCCTGCGAGAGGGAGAGGAGAGAGGGAGGGGTTTTAGTAAAAGACAGAGAGCGAGGCTGCTGCTTAGCCTTAAAATCAATCAGAATAAAGGTCTAGCACCATCTAGTGTCAGAAAAACAACGACTCATTGATTGAACTGTTCCAGTAACGGGTTGATTTGAGTTGGAGAATGCAAAATGGACATTGACACAATTCAACTTGGAGGTAAAGGGAAAATCAGATGCAGATCACACCAACATTTCTGTACATCTCCTGTAGCTGGGTTCATTTTAATATGAGACAATAAGTTGGGACTAGCAAAGAAAAAGCCATAGTAAATGTAAAAGTAAGATAAGGGGCAGGTCAAATAAGATTTAAAAAAAAAAAAAAAACAGTATAAGTGTACATGTTTTGTAAAGAGTACATGTTTTGCACTCTTTAAAAAATAACTGCCATGTGTGGAATAAACAAATACATAAATAAATAAAGTTGTTTTTACATTAATGATTTGACCGTCTATGTGTCTTGTAGTTATTGAATTGCTCTTTTTACTGCACTGTTAGAGTAGTTTCCTTATTATGCTCCTGTGTTCATTGTATTTTTGTAACTCTGGCACAACAATTTCCTTCGGGATAAATAAAGTCCTATCTTATCTTCTCTTAAATACACATTCTTATATTTCGATTGTCTGTTTTTTTTCTACTCACTTTGGCGGCGGCGGCTGCTGCTGCTGCTGTGGCGTGCGTCCTCTGGATGAGGTGGAGGATGTGGGTGTGCCGGACGGGTTGCTGTGTTGACTGCTGTGGTGGCTTGGTTGTGACACGTGGCTCCCGAGTGGAAGGCTCCCGTGGGAGTGTGAGGACTGGGGGGTGGTGTTGGTGTACTGCGGCGTGCCCAGAGCCTGCTGGCTGGGGGTGGTGTACGAGTAGCTGGGCGTCATCAGGGGTGTCGCTATGGGCTGCTGAGGGGTAGCAAACACCTGCATAGGAGAGAGAGCGGGAATCAGGTTTACTACCAGGTAGGTTGACACGTACGAGGAATTTGACTTGGTGTCGTGGTGCACACATAAAAGTAAAACAAAAATTTAAAAAACACAGATAGCGAACTATTTTAAGAACACCATAATAACTTACAAAAAAACAAGACAAAATAATATAAAGCAGTAATTTACATTGAAATAGAATGCAATAAAATGTACATGTATTTAATTTATTTCAAGAATTTTCTTAGAAATCAGTCAAGAAAAACATGTCATGTAAATTCAGTTGAAGTTTCAAATGCTTTCTCAAACATGATATTGGTATTTAACTTGCTCATATGGATTTGAATCAGGTAATTAGATGTAATACAAAATACAAAAATAAAGATAAAAGAAGAAAATATTAATAATTTAGTTTTTGGGAGAAGGGATGGGATTAAAGTGTAAACTCCTTCCCACCCCTTTTCGGATTATGTAATTAGGTAGATCATTTGATTATATAGAATTTGTAAATCAATTATATTTTTGTTTATCAATTTGACACTGCTTAAGTGCGTACAGTAGCATAATTATCTTGTTTCAGTTCATAATTATTATTTGTATTATTGTTTTACACGTTCTAAATAAATCAAATCAAAATTAAAAAAATGTTTTATTTAACAGATGGTTTGGTGTTTTCTGAACTGTATTTTTACTAATTCTCCCTTAACCATAACAGCAAGTCCTTATGTATCCATTCATTGAAATCCCTGAAACAGCTTGTTTGCTTCCACAGTAGTTGAATATTAGCAGCTGCACTCACATGGTACGCAGAGGAGCTCCCCCCTCCTCCCCCTGTGCTGCCACCGTATCCGTACTGGCTGGAGCCCCACTGAGCGGGGGTGGTGTTGGGGTTCTGGTTCTGGCCTGTAACCGCGGCGATGGCATTGAACATCTGAGAGGTCATGTTGCGTGGGAGGGAGTTGACAGCTCGCGTCAAGTCTAGGGAGAAGGGAATAAATGAGGAGATGGTTAAATGTCCTACAACTCCACTCATGCTGAATATCTGTGTGTGTGTGGAGAAGAGCGGGACTCACCTGCGATGTTGATATTTGCTGGGGTGGCGTTCAGGGACGCAGGAGTCCTTGTTCGACTGCTGTTGCTGGGAGTGACGCCTTTGATGGAGAAGAAAACGTTAGATAGGAACCAACTACATCCTTTATTTGTGGTACAATACACATTAGGAGGAGTGCTTCCATACCTGGCACAGGCTCTTGGTAATGGTCCTTAAACCAGCGGAATAACCCGTTCACTGTGGGGAAAACCTGTGAGCGGTACCGGAAGCCATCCGGGGTGATGGTCACATACTCAACCCTGGACAGGAGGAACAGATAGCATGTTGACCTTTAGTTCTCCTAGTATGGAAACCTTGTTGTTCATCAAAGTAGTATCTTTTTTTTTTTAAATGTCGCACGCCATACTTTCAACGCCTTGCTTTCAACAACATGACATTTCAAAACGGCATTAAAGAATACACCGCTTGTTTCATCATCTTTTTCCAGAATTTTATATTTAGAGAACAAAATCAGATCATTAGTCTTTAAACACTTTTTTAAAAATTTTTTTATTTTATACTTATCCAGACCTTGAAAAAAGTGCAAACTCTATATCTTTTCATACTGTTTAGGAACCCTTTATTAAAGATTTAGATTAGAGCTTATGTAGTAGTTATGGGCCTATCGGTTGAGATATCATTTACAATTTCTTTGATGTTATTGTCAGGTTATGCTGCTTTGAGAAAAAGGAAGCAACATCCAAAAAAAGTTATTTAAAAAAATGAATAATGTTGAAATCAGTACAGCTTGTTTATTCAACATGTTCTACTCATGGCTTCATACAGGGTATAATCAGAAAACCTAAATATAGTATAATCGGCTCACCTTGGTTTTCCTCGAGGCTGGTAGCCCAGGATGAATTTCCCCGGGAGCTCTTTACATACCGATAGAAAGTATGGAATAAAAGTAGGCTTCTCCCTCTTTGTCTTGACCAACAACTCCTCCATTTTCTATTGGAGAGAGAGAAAAAGAAGATATAAGAGGTGCAACTTATGGCAATAACATGCTAACTAAATTGAGTTGTTCGTGTTATGAACAGTTGAAATGATATAAAAGTAAATCAGTATATAACATACATCCTTGCTCCCCAATTCCTGAAAGTACTTATGCCCCAGGAGATCTCGGGCAAATGACGCCATTGGTTGAATGTACCGAGCACTGATTTCATCCAAATCTTCAAACTCCTGCAGAGAATGCAATATACTTTAAAAAACATGCAGCAACCACAACAACACATATGTCCCGCAGTGTATAAGGTTCCATTATGAAGCACAAGAGAAGGCCAAAAAAAATGAGTGGAGAAAAACTCTTACCTCAGAGTTGATCCAGAGAGTGTGTCCTAAGCTGAATGCGTTCTCTTTGCCTTCTTCCCTCACATCCACATGCTGGTAGATGCCATCAGCCACCTAAAAAAAAACACATCACACAGTCAGCCCGGATCATGTTGTTTTCCGACACCTTTTGTGTTCCTTCCTCTCCTACCTTCCAGGTGACCGTGAGGTGGTTCTCCCCCTTGCTGCTGGGTCTGATGATCAGGTCTCCTTGGTCCAGGGTCTCCATCATTTTCTCTGCCTGGTTGAAACTGATATTGTGGAAGTTGGGATGGGCGATCACACGCTTTATATATGCTGCAGAGACAGAGGAAAAGCACAATCGTATAAGGGGAGAGGTGTGGATGTAAATGTTGTTGGGTAAACAAGTTGTAATACGAGAAAACAGCAACCAAAACGCAGCGTTTTATTAGCCGTTTTGATTCAAACAACTTTGACTAATTCTGTTATTATACTCACGTGTTCGCTGTTGTTTCTTTTTGAGGTCCTCTTCCTGTTTTTGGTCTTCAGTCTCTTTGTCAAAGTCATAGTAGCTGTCCTTGGGAAGCTTCCACTCATTGGCCTTGTCCATCAGATCGGAGGTGCGGCATGTGAGGTCCACGCTGAATTTCTCAATGTCAATTTTCATGATGCGGCAGTGAACCGTCATACCCACCTGAAGGAGGAGAAGGGAAGGGGAGCCATTCAGTTTTATATATGTGCGACGATAGATGGAAACAAGACAGGAAGGACAGAAATAGCCAGGCACCAACTGATAACTATAGGCGCTTTCAAACTGGAGTACTTTTCCGGTTTAGTTCCGATAGTTCCTGGGATTTTGCGTTCACACCAAAAAGAGAACTTATCCCCCCTTTTCAGTCCCTGCTAGAGAGCAGGTACTTTCCTGGGGAGAAAAAAGTTCCTATGTCTGATTGGCTGGGCGGATTGCAAACCACGCCCCGTAAAACTCGAAAAAGTTTTTTGAAGCCGCCATTGTATTTGCTCGCAATAGCATTATTAGCATTAGCCCCGCGCACAAACGCAGAGAGCCTAACTTATGGCAACACAAAGAAAACATGGGAGCGGTGGAGATGAGGAGGTGTCGTCATTCTGGCGATTTACTCGGAAGGCTTCAGTCGAAGCAGCTGGGGGTCCCAGCAGCTTCTACTGAAGCCAGTCCCTAACTCCGGGGACTTCGGGTGGCAGTATACGCCGTGAAGTTGTTTGCGGCCTGCCAGTAAACCCAAAGCAGAAGAAGAAGAAGTGACGTCAGCGGCTTCATTTGCGTTATCTTCCCTCAGGGAACTTATTCCGGTGTCAACACGACCGGCTCTTAGTTCCATGGGGGTACTAAGTGCTGGGAACTAAGTACGGCAAAGTACTTGGTGTGAAAGCGGCTTATAAGCAATATATACATTTTCTTGGGGGGAATTTATTTAAAAAAAATACGGAAATATAGTTTGAAGCATCAGCAAAGCACACCAAATAACAACAACGCCTCACCTTGACCCTCTCCTCGGGGTGTTTGACCGTTTTGTCACTGAGGAACTTGGTGGGAATGAACCCCTGGACGCCGTTATCTAATCTGGACCGCACCCCGATGGCCTGACCTGGACACGAACCGCTGTCAAAGTGATTCCAAACCTGAAGCGGGGACATAAGAAGATGATGTTTAGATGCCAGACTCTCAGCTGTTTGTAACATTAACTGCTCAAAAGAAGAAACACTCCTGTGCCTGGTACCTCGCTGAGTTCGGGGAAGTTGTCCTGCTGGCAGAAAGGACACTGCCACAGCCCGGTGGAGTCGTTTCTGATGGCCTGGTCGTAGCTCTCTCCCTGAGGCCGCCGGTGAGCGATACCAGTTACTATACTGGTGATCAGCTTACCTGAAAGAAAAAGGAGGCAAAACATCAACCACAGGCCGATGGCAATTCTACAGCCACATAGCAACATCACTCCTTTTATAAAAGTCCTGTGTTAGGCACTGAGTTCTTCGCCTGAGTGTTTATAGTTAGGAATATAATGTCTTTTTCATCTTTTGTGACATTTAATTCATGATATAAATGGCTTTCAGTGTGGTGTGTATTACCAATATAAAAAGTCTCTGGGGTGTCCTTGGTGAGCAGGTTGAAGACCTCCTCAGTGTTGGGGACCCTGTAGGCGACTCTCAGATCTTTGTACCTGCAGCTCAGCTCTGCACGGATATCATACAGAGTAATGCCCTTGTTGCCATAACCCTACAGGAGAAAAAAGAATGATGTCATATATTTTTGTAGGTGAAAGGCATACATAGTGATTACATGTATACAGCTGTTATTATTTATTTGTGTGAAGCTCTCATCTTGTTTCTTTTCTATTTATAACTTAATATTGACGGGGTAAAAGCCACACAGACCTGTCTCTCAAGCTCTTCAGCGAAGGCGTCCAGGTCCAGATCTTTGAGACGCTCTGGGTTTTCCAAGATCTCCTCCAGAGCTCCGGCTGGGTTGGCATCTTCTGCCGATTCATCGTACTCGAGAGCGTCCACGGCCATCTTACGAGCCCACTCGTACGTCTCAGGGTGAACACGAGACCCATCCAGGACCTCGATGTAGGAGTCCGTACTGTGGAAGGTTTGATAGAAGAAATCATTTAGAACAACCTCACAACGGGCTCATAGGTAGATTCACAGCCTTTCCTGATATCGGTATAATAATCTCAGTAAAAGACTCCTGAAAAAGAAGCCAACCTGTCTCCGAGCGACGCCGTGTCGATCTTGATGAAACCAGCACAGTTGATGAACACCTTGGGTCCCATGTGACTCATTGTGACCAGCTGGGTTCGGTTTTCCAGACGGGTGTTGTTCTGCTTCAGAATCTGCGAAGATACAAGGACCATGAAGATGATCAGGTTAGGGAAAACAGCGCTGTACATTAATATACGACACAATGAATGAGAGCATCACAAAAACGTACCTTCAGCAGCTGGGAGCCCTTCCTCGGCCCCAGACCACAGACAAACTGCACCAGGCTCTGGGTGTGAGGGTGGGCGATGCACTTGTTCACATCCACTCCGACCTCATTCACACGGTTAATGAATTCAAAGTAAAGAGCACAGAGCAAATCTTCCTTCACCACTTGTTCCTGAGAAAGAAAGACAGAAAAAGACAGTTTCAGAAAGTGGCTTTGTAATGGCGCATTTCCACTGCAGCGGGGTAGCCCCGTTTAAGCGTCCCTAAGCGTCCTCGCTCAGGCCTCGTTGGGCTGTCTCGCTGGCCGTCCGAGGCCGTGGCGCATTTCCATTACAGTTTAGGACCTGGGGTAGCAACGCAGTGTATGCGGGGCCACTACCCGCACCACTCGTGTTGTTGTTGTCCTTTACTTGGCGATATTCACTCTTCATCTTTTTCAGTTTTTCCCTACACTGCAGGAAAGTCCTCGAAAATCCGCGTTCGGACATCTGTGCAGAGACATCCTGGAAAACTTTCACATTTCGAGTAGTTCCGTCGAGCTCCCGCTGGATTTTATCATCCCCAATGAGATGTAGGAACGTCGTCACCTCCTCGGTCGACCACGGTGTGCTTTTCTTTGACGTTGCCATTTTTGTAGCTCCTCCGTTTACAAAATGCTGTTTATAAAAATGCTGTGTATAAAAATGCTGCAAGCTTGCTTCTAGATATATATGCGACGCTAGGGATGATCTCGCGCACGATCTTGCGATGATTCTCTCTGACCAATCAGCAGTCGAGAGTGTTGACGTCACTAGTTCAGCCCTGGCCCTGGTCTGATAGAACCACGATTTTATGGGTCCGGAAAAAGAGGGAAAAAGTACCCGCTCGCCGGTGCTACGCTATATGGAAAGGTCACCAAAAACTGGCCTGGCCGCTTGAGGACGATTAAGGACGCTTAAACGAGGCTACCCGCTGCAGTAGAAATGCGCCATAAGTAGCTGTAGAATCAAACCGTATGTTTACAGCATCTGGTTTTAATAGATGTTGCTGATGTTCTAGAGTTTGGAGAATGGGTAGTAGTTGAGGAAGTACTCATATATTTGACTTTAGTAAAAACACTCAAACCACAGTGTAGAGATACTCTGTTTAAAGGAAGTCCTGCATTGTTATAGTAGTATAAGAGCGGGTATAATCATTAAAACACACAAAATGTTCTCATTGGCAATTTCAGAATAATATAATGTTATATTATGGTATTATAATTATTTATGCTTTAATGTGTTCATCACTTTATCTTGGCAGCAGGTCAAAGTTCCAGGTAGCTTGCTCAGTAGTACATCTTTTGATCATATTTATTGATACAAATAAAAACAAAACAAACTGTCATGACCTATTACCAAATGTCCAGAAAGCAAACAAAAGACGAACAAGGCAAACATCACAATTCCATTTTTCTTAACATAGTGACACACACTGATATATTTAAACTAGACTGTTAAGAAGGAAATGGTGTGATTATGGCTGTAACACTTTTGGAAGAAACAATACAAACTAAATATAAAGCACAATATATAGATAGATATAATAGCACACAAATACCACAATTTCATCAATGTCAGTCTCACCTGCAGCGGGTGGAGTTTGAGGCAGAGAATATCATCATCAGTGCTGCAAACCTGAGCGTACTCTATCAGGGGGTCCTGGATCTTCCTGGCTATTGACACAGCCTGTCGCAGCAAGGGGGGGTAATCCCTAAAGTCAACCTGCACAGAGAGAAAGCAGAGGATCAGGACGAGGTGAGCTTTGGGCCATGTCTTCAATCCACCAGTTAGTGTGAACTTGCTGTGGTTACTCGCCATAGTGAAGAATGAAACCCCATGTTTCAGAGCCAGTGTGTGATAAAGACACTACAGTGAGGTGTTGAGTGTTTACCTCAGACTTCTTGCTGTTCATGTACAGCGTGGCCAACTCATTGTCAACGAGCTCCACTCCCACAGCGGGGACAGAGGACTCTTGTTCCAGCTCGCTGATGGCCCTCTTGATGTCCTCCATGATCATTTGAGCATCTCTGCAACACAAGGCAGGGTTTTAGTGTTACAACCGCAACTCAATTATAACTTGGAAATGTTGTTTACATGTAGCTTTTCAGCACATTAAAAAAAACTAACTAATGTTACCTGTTTTCCCCAGCGACAGCCACAACATGAGGTTTCTTCCCAGATAGAAACTTTTTGAGAGTTTCGATGTCGTGGGCCTGAAGATAACACACACATGTGAGAGATCATCTCAAAGATGCATCCCTTAACAAAAAGCAACTGTTGACTATTAACTGTTCTCAGCTGGTACCTTCTTCTCTCTCTCATCCTCCCTAAAGGCGTTCCTCCTCTTCATGAAGTAGGGCAGACGCAGGAAGTCGGCCACCTCCCCTTCCCCGTTGATCAGAGCACAGAACACAGGTGTGTCTCTGTTGGAGCAAAGTGGGTAAGTCAGAAACGGTTTTGTCAAATAAGTATGTCTTAAATGCAGTAAACATTGCTTTGTTGTTAATTTAAAGTAAGTCATTGTATCCGTTTAGACTGTGTAAAGCCTGCACACTTAGTCACTTTCACTAACTTATGAGTGAGCCCCTTGAGTAAGTGCGCAGGAGGGCTGTACCCGAATATCCGAATATTCGTTCGTTGGAGTACTATTCAGGTTTCAATTTCGTTATTCGGATAGGCGTATTCGGCTGCCAAATTGAATTGATTGAAAACTCCAATATCAACGTAAGAGCTTGTGCCTCTTCGGGGGGTGCTAACACTTAACCATAAACGTTATCGTTTACTTTCTCCGTCTTTATATGTAGATATGATTTTTCTCCGTTAATCTCCACGTTGTTTCCATAGCAACAACAACTTCCTGTCAACAGCGCTAACTCTCCTTCAAAATAAAAGCATGTCCATCCAAAATAGGAAGCCTAGCCAAATTACACTTAAGACATATACAACTGCAACGAAAGTAACAAACAATGCAATATCCTTTTCAAATTCAAAGAACACAACTTGGGTTACATTAACAAATAACTATAAAACAACAATACTGTAGAATAACAAAATGAATGCCGTGAATAAACCGAAATACACGTGTTGAAGCAGTTCACTGCTGATTACTACGCACCCCACACGGGCCGAATATTCGCTGCTGATTACTACCGACCATCCGGAGCCCGAAAAATGGTATTCGGGACAGCCCTAGTGCGCAGAGGTAACCTTTACTTTCATAACAAAAAGGGTAGCAACTGACAAATACAGACAATACTGTAGAGCAAATACCTGCTGGGCGCATATGCTACTCCCAGCACCCGAATGCCTTTGCCCTGACTCTCATCCATCAGATCATCGTCTTCCTCAACCTGCTGATCTGGTCGGTAAGGAGCCACTTTCAGCCAGTTGTACAACCGACGGCAGCAGGACTGTGAGGAGAAACACAGAGGGTTCATAAAAACACACTCATCAAACATACATTTTTAAACAATGTTGCTCTATAATTTCATATATATTTATACAATACTGATACAACGGGACAGATATAGTGAGGCATTACCCGGACAATGCTCTCCTTGGCCTCAGTGATCAGTTTGCTCTTGAGCTCCTTGGCCATCTGAGGGTAGAGGAACTGAGTGAGGGCTCTCTCTATGGCAAGAGTTCGCTGCCTGTTCCACTCCTGCACCTGGTGACTGAACTCATCTCTGTAGTAGAACTGTTTGATCTCGTCAAAGTAAGTCTGTTCCCCGGCGAAGCTGAGGATAAGCAGAGGGAAGACGCAGTCAGAAGCAGCGCCTTAAATAAGTCATAATTCCAAAGCCCCATGCTTGCTCTACTGACAAGGAGATAAACATAAGCTGCAGCTTAAAAATAAATCAGACTCCAGGGACCTACTTATCAACTCTACTTTCATTCAACAGACAAGCTTTACAGGCGCTGCAAAAGCAGTTCATCACATCAGATCCTGTGCTTTGTAAATATCCTAAGGCGAAGGAATGTGAATGAAAAAGAGAACTGATAAGAGCTATAAGACCTAGGGATGTTTGGTTATTTATCATTTCTTCCATCTGGCTAAAAACTATCAACATTTGAGTGGGGATCCTCCGTAATCCTTGTAGCCTGTAATCATGTATTTACAAATATCTGAATTGAGTAGGCGAACCTTTGCAAAACATGCAGATATTTCTCAGTTTTGTCACTGTGCTTACCCTTTGACTCCTAAAAGGTCAATGCAGATATTAATGGTAAGCAGCCCCTCTTCCTCTGCCAGGCCCATCTTCAAGAACTGATCCCCATTCAGCTCTTTTACAGCCTTGTTCTTAAGATACTTGAAGGAGTAGGCAAAATGAGCCTCGTCTATCTCCTAGAGGAAGAAAGCAAAGGGCAAGGCAGGTTAAGAGTCAGAATCATTTCTGTTAGATGGTAACATCCGTGAGATTAAGTGTGTCCAAACCTTTTTCCCCTTCTTTGTGGGCTTGATGTTGATCTTGGCCCTCTCTTGAAAGGTCTGTCGGAGGACATGTCTGACCAGAGGTTCACGGGCGATCTGCATGGCCACCATGTACCTGGTTCCTTCCAGCACGGCCTCAGGAGAGCTGAACTGACTGCACACGTAGTCTTTGGCCAGCTCCACGGGCTCGGCCGGGAACTGCTCCGTCTCGTGACGTTGGTAACTGTCACGCAAATTCTCTCCAAACTGCTCTGGAGTTAACCCAAACTTTTTAGCCAAGCCATCTGCCGTAAGGAAGAAATTGAAAAATGAGTTACTTCAAATTATCAATATCGGGAATGCCGCTACACCAAGACACCCCTATTATACACAGTAGGGCTGAGCGATTATGGCAAAAATCATAATCACGATTATTTTGGGTCAATAATTGATATCACGATTATTAAAAACGATTATCATTTACTTTGAAAACTTCCATTTATTGAAAAAAAAATGTGAACAGTATGTTTTTAACAGTTGATTACCCTGAACTTTAAGGATAATTCAACTGAAAAAACAATTTAAAAAAAAAACACAATTTTTAAAATAAAATTAATCGTTTTATTTTGATTACGTTGTTTTCGTAATTGTTGCAAGCCAAAATCGTAATGGAGATTAAAATACAATTAATTGCACAGCCCTAATACACAGTATATGTGGTAGGTAAAAAAAGGAGACTAACCCAGTCCTACGCTCTGACAGATGCTGTACATATCTCTACGAGACGCCAGCTTGAGGTCAGGTCCTTTCTGTTCTTCTTCTTCTTCTTCTACCTCCAATTCCTCTTCTTCACCTGAGGAGGCGGACAATAATAATCAGTCATTAAGAACATTGGAACAACAGGGCAAACACACCATAGAACTGAACAGTTTCAAATCATTTAGTAAATTCAGAAGCGTCCATCTTACCATCCTCGTTCACTTCTTTGATCTTCTTGAGCCTCTTCTTACTGGTCTTTACAGTGTTCTGCATCTTGGGGATGTCTCGGCCGTAGTAGAGCAGAAAGTGGTTGTAAACATCCCCCAGCTCTTCAAGAGTCTGCACATCTTTCAATCTATAGAAAGAATAAATTAGGTTTGATTGTGACAGAAAAGGCTCTTTATTGTTGATCACAGTATAAACTCCATCACAAATATTCATAGATTAGTGCAGTCACAAAGAAATAGAATGCATAAGAGATGATCTTTCTGAGCATCAACCATCGAGGCGTACCTCTCCAGGTCGGAGATGTCCAAAGGACGGACGCCGTCAGCCAAAGGTTTGTCAGGGTCAGCTGAGATCTGCTCAAACTGGTAGGCCTGCATCTTCTGGAACAGACGGGTCAAGTTCTGCTTCCGGTTCTTCAGCTGAGTCCACTGGTGGAGGAAAATGTAGAAGTCAAGAAACCAGAAGTGCAGAGCATTGATAGCAGGGTATATGCAGGAATCCTGAAGTCAAATGTAATGTTTTAAGACCTCATCGCCACTTCTAGTCTTAACCGGTTACATTGGCGACACACTTTACCTCACATTGACTCAGAGGTTGCGCTAGACTTTTTCGCTGCCCGTCATTTTGACAGACAGGAAATCCAGAATTACCCGTCGGCCTTTACACAACTCTGACGAGGGAGGGGGGGGGGGGAAGAAAGCATGCTCGTGAACTGTCAACGGGGGGGGGGAGGGACAGTTCACATGCGCCGTGTTATGCATGGCTGCTGCACCTCGCGGGAGCGTGTACAGCGTAAAGCCAAAACTCACAGACATTTCAATGATTTGTACGGCACAGTTAGGTTTGGAAACGGTATAATTTCCTTTTTGGAGGGCATGCATAACACGGCATAACACCGGAGCCTCGCTGCGGGGAAACTTTGGTGCTGTTCCGAGTTTGTTCTAATCTTTCAAAATGACGGACAGCTTTCAGATTTGTCCGTCATTGTTAAAAAAAATCCGTCATAGACGGAAAATATTCGGTTAACGCGACCTCTGCATTGACTATATACAGTATCTTACAACCATTTGGACGCAAACTTAGAAAATGCCGTTTAATACTTTTTAATAGCCTTCATTTTCGCTAAATTGATTTATCAACTTTTAATACTTTTTAAGACCCTGCGGACCCCCTGGATCAAGATTGGCTGAGCACACAGAATATCCACCCTTTCATCCTTACTCACAACAATGTCTTTCCATAAGCAATAATCAAACTGTACCTTTTCATCCCACTGCCAAACCTTCCACAGGTCGTTTATGTTTAGTTCTGGCTCCACATATTCTTTCCTGTAGAAAGCTATGAATGGGACCTGGAAAAAAGAAAACAATTTGTATTTGGCATTCTTTCTCAAAATACTTATGTTATTGTTTTTTAAAGAAATGCTAAACAAAATGATGGCTCACTGTACCTCAAATTGTTGATTCCTCATGAAGTTGAGGGCCTCTTTGATCTTGGCAATTGTGCTGGGGCCCTTCCTGCTGAAGTTTGTAGTCGTCCCCCTGTCCAGATAATCTGTGCTCTCCTATTCAGGGCACAAAAAAACAGATCCTTTTTAGAAGCAAGGAAAATAGAATGGTGTATCGTGCTGAAGGGGAATCTAACACGGTATCATGAGTGGAAATCCAATCTTTTGCATTCTGTGTGCATATTTTTCCTGAGTGTGGAGGCAAAGGGCGTACCTGCATGGAGATAGTTAGAGTGGAGAATCCATGTCTGAAGATCCACTCTGCTTCCTCTTCCAGCTCATCATCCTCAGCGGGTTTAACAGGGATGGATCGCAACTATAAGAAGGAGAAGAGAGTCAGGATAACAGGCACATGACAAACATCAGGAAAACACAGTATAAATAAATAAGACCACAAGGCTTAATTATGAATAAACCTGAGAAAGCAGTCACTATGATCCTTTATGGTCCAGATGAGATCGTTACAATAGAGCATCAAAACTGTTAGCATCAACAACACTGTTAGCATCAACAACACTGACGACAAACACACAAACCTGGAACCTCTCCGGCATGTCTGTGTTACGGATCTCGTTGTCTTGGTCGGTCATGTGACTACTTTCCAGCTCGCTGGGCTCGTAGATCTCAAAGATGCTCTTCCTGCCTTGCCTCCTCTTTGTCTGCTTCTTGGGTCGGTCCCAAGCTTCTTCATCCTGGTCCTCCTCCTCCTCCTCCTCACCCTGGTCGTATGCGTCTGCGTCAAATTCAGCAAAGTCAAAGTCTCCGCCGAAGATTTCCTGGGCCTCCTGGAGGGCTCTGTGGCAGGAAGGGCAGCGCAGTGGAGTGATTATGTGTTTCACTTAAAGCAAACATTATGTGCTTATTGTATTGTTGTTACCAAAAATAATAATATTGTTTATGTAAACAATTATAATGCAATTTAGACTCTACCAGATATAGAAGTATAGCAATGGAGCGTATTGCCCCACAAACGATAAACCTTTTGAATGATAGATTTGTTGCATAATCTTTGACACTCACGCATCTGTGTATCCTGAGAACTTCTTGCCCCTCTTTTTGGTGATGGGTTGACCGTCATCATCCACAATAAAATCGTCTATATCTGCAGAACACATTTAGAAAACAAATCAATTATACAGCACAATATTTAGAGACCAAGTGTGCGACTCAGTTGACGTAACTATTATTTCTCTGCTCTTTAGTTATTTAAAGACCGATCTAAAATTCCTGGCCTACCCGACTCCTCGTCTTCTCCTTCTTCCTCGTCATCTGCTTGGTGGAGGGGCTCATCGACGGCCTCCCCTTCCTCCAGATCGCCCTCTGCATCTCCATGAAAGATCTCATCCGCGATCAAGTCCTTCTCGTCGTCATCTTCTTCATCATCATCGAGTGTTTTTACACGGTCGTATTTCTTCTTCTGTGAAACCAGACAGGAACAGCATCAGCAGTGCTAGCTTTAACTTGACTATTACTGTAGAGAAACAAGTCATGAGATTCTTCTTACCCTTCTTTTCACTTTAACACCCAAGTTTTCCTCAATCAGGTCCAAATCATCGTCATCCAGGTAGTCGTCACTACGATCTGCAAGTATAAATCATTGGGTTTATATATATATATATATATATATATATATATATACATATCCTTTACGCTGCAACCATGAAGCCACAAGTGAGAGCGCCGCACAGCTTTTCTCCATTTTTACATGGCTTGTTTTTATAATACAAGTATAATCTTTCTTTAAACTTTACTGTCGGTCACTGAGCCGTCGCAGCAGCTGGCCCCAGGCTCTGGAACACTCTGCCCCTCCATGTGAGGTCGGCCCAGACCCTAGGGTTTTTAAATCGACACTAAAGACTCACTTCTTATCCCTGGCCTTCTAGTACGACTCCTGACATTTCCCTGTGTTTGATTTTTATATTTGCTGTTGTAATTTATTGTCTTCTGTTTGCTATCGCAAAGTGTTTTTATTGCATGTACAGCACTTTGGCTCGACCAAAAATCGTTTTAAAAATGTGCTATATAAATAAAACTTGATTTGATTTACTGTTCAGAAAAGTCCAGTAAAAAGGTCTTATCCAGAACTTGTTAATAACACTAACTATATGTAATTGCAGTATTACAGAATGGCCATAAATCTGGTATTTACAGCGTAATCAATGACTTCTCTATTATATTGGGATGAAACTGCTGACATTCCTGTCGAGATACTGATATGAGGTAATTGGTAACATTTCTGCCAGACAAAAACAATAAATTACAATAATGACCCGATCCAAAATCAATTCAGAACTGGGTTTGTGTCTCCAAAATGATTTTAATATTTGGGATTTCACAGCTGGAGAAATCTAATTATAAAGGCTCTCTGGTAAACAGACGACGTTATGTTGACATCTTGACTAAAAGACCTCAGTTGGCGAATACGCATCACACATGGTCATATCTGATGTACTTTTTGATTTACATTTTCTAGGATTTCCTCTGTGTGTGTGACCCATCAAAACTGGACAGAGAAAGGCAGAAGAGCTATGAAGGGTGGTATAGGAATGGGCAGAATGTCAATATGCATGGAATAATTGGAAGAGATCCAATACAGCTTGTCCCAGGTGACTTCCTGAAACTAACCCTAACATGCAACAACACACTGTATCATGGCTGGATCTCTTTAAAATATCGAATTCACTTACTGCGCTTTTTCCGTCGATGCTTCACTTCTTCTTCTGAGTCACTCCCCGCTGCACTTGCAGGTGCTGGTGGCGCCGGCTCCTCCTCCTCCTCTTCTGCATCATCAATGAGTCCGCGTAAATTTCCTCGTTCATCCTGGTCCTCTGTGTTCTCTTCTTCTTCCTCGTCTGTCAAGTAATGAGATATAAGTGGTCAACAAATCATTCAACCCCCCTCAAACACATGCCAAGAACTAAACCATTTCATTCTTACCATCTTCCTCCACAAACCGCTGGGTCTTTTTAGGTTTTAAGTCTTTCTCTTCTAACTCCTCCTCCTCCTCCTCCGACTCCTCAGCCTCGCTGACAATAAAGTCCGACATGACGGCTGTTCCTGGAAGCAGTACAAGAAAGGCTGTTAGAAAATGTTCTCAGCTTCATCCAAGTATTTGTTCTTCGAGACTAGACAGACACAAATACAAAAGCCACACCAACACAACTCGCCTTCATGCGTTATGCTGCAATTGTGAATTCAACCCATATCATTCCATTTCCTTTCTGCTACAAGATTGAACAAAAATCGTATTTCACACTGCCTGACAATATTGCATTTACATTGTTCAACAGGTTCTTCCAGCTCTTCATTAAACAATTACATTAAAAATATAATAAACGCAAGATATAAAAGCTGCACCATTACACCAAATGATAAAATTAGGGATGCACCGAATATTCGGCCACCGAAAATTATCGGCCGAAAATGGTTAAAAAGGTGAAAGGGTTTTAGCACCGAAAAAATATCACCGAATGTCAGAACAGGCTTACGTTGGTAACCTAACGTGTTGTTGTGATGACGTAATAAAGACGCGGCGACCATGCTCGCGGCTGGCTCACAGGGGGGGGAACATTGACCTTTGTCATCGAGATTGCCCTGAGCCTTTAACAAATCGTATTAAATAATCTGATGACAGAACTGTAAACAGAATAGCTGAAATTTTAACAAACTAAATAACTCAGTTTCCTCTAATCATTAACCCATGTTTGTATAATGTAGTTAACTCTGTGTGTTGCTGCTAGCATACATAACACCTGAAAGGAAACGTTACTCGTGGATGGGGCTACAGAGCTGCTAGAAAGACGGTCGAACCCGGTACATTCCTCCGTCTGCATGCGGTGCACTTTTGCTAAATGTTTAGACAAATTGCTCGTGCTTACATGCTAAACTCTTATTGCACTTATGGTAACAAGTATTCTCCACATCGAGACGGGTAACGTTTAACCACACCTCGGAGCGCGTTCTCTCCGCCATCTCCGCAGTGTGCTCCGCTGCATGTAGCAGCTGCGTGTGTGTAAACTGCCCCGCCCCCTCGCACACAGACGGGAGAAAGATCTCGTCTGATCGAAAATACATCATAGACGCATTTGTTGTCTTTGCATATTAGAAACGAGTTGGCGACACTAAGACTGCGATATCATGTTTTTTAGCAATAATACATGACATATATAAATGTACTGTATGCATTCAAAAGTGCTGAATAAATGTTTTATGGACCCATAATAGTGATTATTATTTAAGTTTTGCCATAATCATGTCTATTTCCATAATCAGGTAGCTGAACAACATTGGTAAAAAATGTATACATTATATATATATATATATTTCTATTAATCATTTTTCGGCCTTTCGGCATTCGGTTTTCGGCCAACTGTTTCCTATTTTCGGTTTCGGCCAAGAATTTCCCATTCGGTGCACCCCTAGATAAAATGCCCTAATTGTTTCGGTGTGACCAAATTCATCCTTACACCTTTTTGTATTTTTAGTATCTCCTTCAGAATTTGAAATGAAGGGCTTGGTAGTTTATATGTACTGAAGAGATCAACAATACGCGTCAGTTCCATGTATAATCTGTGTTTTGTGTCACATAAACTTTATATTGTTTTCTGAATATGCGATTTATTTATGTAAACATCTATACAAAAAAGCCCGGGATTATTGGGTTTTGCAAACATGTTTGAGGTGTTATTGACAAACAACGTTAAACCAATTTACAGTCAATTAACACTCTATTTTCGTATTTCTAATTGACCTGGTTATGGTTTTAAACTCATTGTCATAATGTTAGTCAGTAACAAGAAAACTACATTTAGTTGGCGACCTTAAGAAACCCTAGACCTAACAATGTCGCATTGCGCACACACTGAACTCCCACGGAGACCACTAACCAGGCACATCAGCCCCTTTCTTTCTATCTGATTGTAGCTAATGTAACCGAATCTTAGCCATCTGATGAGCGGTCGGTCGACAAACATTCATCTGGTATTGGAAATAATGTTCAATGTCGTTAGCTAACGGTATTATCCCTATGAGCTAGCACCCACCAACTAGGCTAACACAGATGCTAATGATGCATGTTAGCTTGCGTGCAACCTTTTACCAAGTACTGTTAGCTAGCACACGTTGAAACCATAGTGTATGCATCAAGATATAAACTGACAGTAAAACAGCAACCGAGACGATTTCCAAGCTGTGGGAATTAACCAAGGCCCATCTCAGCCAACTTCGCAGTCTAACGTTAGTTTATGCTTTAGCACATCAGTACGTTAGCCTAGCATTAGCCGGAACGACAACAACAGCCAACTGCATCCCCGTTAGCTAGTTAACCATTGTTAGCTAGGCAGCACAATGTAAAGATCAACATTACCACGGAGAAACTGGACTTACACGTCTCACTGCGGTGGTGTACTCCGATAATATTTACAGTTATAACGGGGGTGTGTTGTGTTCTGTGTGTCGGGGAGCTTGTACTTGTAAAAAATGGCCGACAACGAGCGGCGTGAAAGGCAATTCCGGTATGAGTGAGGGGACTTCCATCCTGTTCGCTGGAAACGAGACGCCCCCTGCTGGGTCGCTTTGATTCTACACAAGGCTAAATAACTTATAAAGACTACACAACATAATTTTTGTGTGGGAGTGTGTTTCCAGTGTTTCTAATATCAAATTGTACTTGTATTGTATGAACCAGCCATGTAAAAAATGATATAAGCTGTGCGGTGCCCTCACAGCTGATTGTGGCTTTAATCTTTATTATTATTATTATTTATTTATTCATTTTATTAGTTTATAAATATTGTTTTATTTACTTATTCATTTTATGCGTTTTATTTTATTTATTCATTTTGTCTTATGTCTTCCTTTATTTTACCAAGCGGGATCATTATTTATTGTATTGTTGTTAAACCTATTTGACCTCCTTGTGTCCCTTGAATTGTTATAGTATGCGTTTATACTGTATGCAAAAAGATTGGACCTGAAGGGGAATTTCTTATTTGTAGTTTTAATTTGTTTTAAATTCATTACCCAGTCGGTTAACACATGGAAGGAATTTGCTTTGCTGTAAATGATGCATACAAAGACACAGGAAGAACAGTAAGGTTTTTTTTACAAGAAAGAACCAACAAATAATACTATTGTAAAAACTATTTAAAAAAACAATATTAAAGAAATTAAATTAAATTAGAAATAAATATGTCTAATATGTAGGACACTAACTACAGTAAAATAAAATACTATATTAAAAGCGCCTTGAGCTGCACCTGGTGTATGAAAAGTGTTATACAAATAAAGATGTGTCATCATCTTTATCATCAATATATTGCACAAAATACCAATTAAACAAAAACAAGTACAAATATCACAGTAAGGTATTAGCAGTGACTCCTCCCAGCCGCTAGGGGCGCTGTCCTCGAGCCTCTTGTTGCCATACTGCCTCTTCACTGACGTAGCGTAAAATAATACAAATCTCCCTCAGAGGCATCTTTTTTTGTAGGAATGGGTATTTTAGATTGTGCTGTTTCTCGACACACTTCACCAACCTTTTTATTATATCTATGCTGTATATTTGGACCGTCCCTCGGCACTGAGCTGAGTTTTGTAACATGCGGATCTGTCATTAAACTGTTAAATGTAAAGCACAATGTGAGACTTCACTCGCACGACGTACGCTACGGCTCCGGTGAGTTTTTTTACTGGGATTGTTAAACATTAATACAAATTGTGTTTCTCTACTTTGACATCATCTACTATTGCCCTGCTATGTAATCAAAGCGAATGTTTAAAGAAAATTGGAAATTACTGATGTGTACAAAGGTTAACTCTCAATGTATCAACCCCATTACGTATTATTCACAGTCACACAGTGTTTATATAAAGGATGTGTAACCTAAAACCTCTTTAATGCATAGTTAACACGTTTATTTACCTAAAATTCACAAAGATACATCAAATGTTAAGTTAAGGGAGATAAAGACCCCATTTATACCTGTTATTATCATGTCATCTTTTTCGTATCTGCTAATCTTACATGGATAATGATGTAAACATAATTTGTTTTACCATTTGTTGTTATTATATTGTTTTGTTGAAAGGAAATGAGAAAATACCTTTTTCTTCATACAAAGGTTAACAGCATTCATTTGATATATCATGTATGTTGACTCTATTACGTGTCAATTCCAACTGTGGCACATACTGTATACAATATTGGATACATAAAACCACTATTAAATGATTACCTATTAACTGGCAACTAAAGACAGTATATGAACAAGATCAGCGTTTGGATTTCCTTTATGAAAACCACACCCTTTTCTTTAAAGCCTAGTAACAAATTAGCCCGAGTATACACATAAATGTATATTACAAATCTAAGGTGGTTGTCAAACGTCAATCTTATTTCTTCAAATAAATAGTTGTTATTCTAGGCTAAAGCCCTCAAAGTGAACCACTTGATCTGCTGCCAACCTGCTGTGAGTCCTTGGTTTCAAAGTCAGACCTAAAGCAACAATCATCATTTCAACTTGGTGGGGGTTAAACTGACCTTCACACCGCAAATACAATTAGTAGTTGTATTTTTCGACAATCTTGATCTTCCTTGATAAATCACATTTGCTGTTTCTTTCAACATCCCTGGTTCTGTATCTGGTTGGAGTTTCTCTGCTCACCGTGTGCTCTTCTGTGTGTGTGAGACAGGTAGCGGGCAGCAGTCTGTAACAGGGGTGATGACGATAGAGGACAGTAACAGCTACTGGAGTGTCCGTGGGACATTGGACACCTTGTGCCATCGGGGCACCCCGGTCAAGTGTGGGCAAGATATCCGTCTCACCCATGTCAACACAGGCCGTAACCTCCACAGCCACTACTTCGCCTCCCCGCTGTCCTCCAACCAGGTGGGTGGGGTGAAAAGTACATGGGGAGAGGGTTAGTTTTCTATGAATCATCATGATATAACAACCTGCAGAGATTGGCGCATTTATGTCAATGTCCAAAATGTAGTAGAGCCTTATTCAAGCTTTTTGTGTAAATGTTAATATAATACTAAAATATTTAGAATGTATTAGTGTCATGCAAAGTTAAAGCCACTCACTGCAGCTCATTGCATTACTAACACAAAGTCTGTTGCAAAATGGTCACATTTAGGGAACCCTAGAAAAAATGTTGAGGTTGATCTGAGCTGACAGCAGCTTTTACACTTCAGGAAACGCACCAAACTCTGTGGGAAAACAGCCGCGGGCCTGAAAAAACCTCTCCAAAATTAAGGAAGTGTAAAAACACTATCAAGCCAAAGTGTTACAGGCTTGAAAGGTGTCTACCGTGCCATTTGAGAAATGCTTGTTATTGTTAGACATTTTTATACTGCACAGACCTGTATATTTTCAGTTTTTGAAAAGGAAGATTTAGATTGTTATGAACAGTATCAACATGTCTAACAATAACAAACAATTCTAAAATGGCATGGCATACTTAGTTCATACTGAGAGTCTAAGTCGAACATTGTTCATACTGTAGACAATTGAAGTCAGCAGATGGTTCCAGTTTAGCAGCAGGAGAAATTTAAAGCAAGGTCAAAGATTATAAACACATTTATTATTTATGGCTGTATTAAAATACACTCAAAGTGTGTTGGTGGAGAAAAAGTCTGTGAACATAACTGTACAAGGTTTACACATTAAGAAAATGTTGGCTTTAGGCGAGGGAGACACAATTAGAACAGAACATTATTTAAGAAGCGCTGTATTATTAACATGACATCGATATATATTTATCCTACACCACTTATGTCTGGAAAGTGGAGAGATAGTAAAACGGACCCAAAAAGCTATCACAAAACAAGGTACATTACCTTCTCTAATTTTACTTTTTAAATAATGTTTCTCTCACCCGTCCACAGGAGGTGAGTGCGTTTGGGGACGACGGGGAGGGGGACCACCTGGACGAGTGGACGGTTCAGTGTGGGGGATCTGTGTGGAAGCGAGAGGAGGCCGTCCGCTTCCGTCACAAACCCACCGATGCATTTCTGTCAGTGACGGGGGAGCAGTACGGACGGCCGATCAACGGTCAGAGGGAAGTTCACGCCATGGCAGACCCCAGCCAGCACAGCCTGTGGAAGGCCATGGAGGGCGTCTTCATGAAGCCCAGCGAGATCCCCACGGGCAGCCGGGACTACAGCCACCTCCACACAGAGTTCTGAGCTTCACTTTTCTTATTTCTCCCTTCCTATCGTCCCATCTGTTTACCATCGTTATCCTATCTCTGTCCCGAATAACACATGTTACAACTTATCTAATTTATCCCTCCCATCAACTTTGACTTTCATATTTCCAGGCGATTTTGCCAAAGTCTTTACATGGAACAGGTTACAATGACTTCACATGATCAATCCATACCTCTCTCTTACATGTTTTAGGAAACACTACTTGGATCCTCCAAGATCCATCAGCTACCCTCAAAACTTTAATAGAATAATAGTTTGCCTTAACAGGGACAAGAAGACATAAAAGTATGAAAACCGTACAAAGACTAATCTTTGTGAGGCTTTACGTCCTCTTAGCTGTTATTTATTGTTAGAAACTTGCCATCAGAAAACACAATGCAACTCAGAAGGCAGGAGGGTTTTGCAGATAAGTAGAATAAAGTCATCAAGTGAGTGTTGTGTTTTGGAAGACTTTGTTACATTGTTACACTTGTGCCTTTATCCTTTTTATAGCTTTTGGAAACAAGCATTTTTTGTGTTTTTTAAGGTATTTGTTAGTCATATTCCACTCAAACAATTTATAAGCAGTGTTACCAGGATAAATAACTTTCCCCCCCTTTAAGTCAGATTCAGTGTTGCGTATGAAGGATCCAACACCAACTTACATGAGTGTACGCAGATTAATCTGTTAAGGTGTTTTTAAAAAAAATATGATTTTGATCAGTTTGCTGTGTGAGAATAACCATGTCATGCTGTCTCTGCAGTGGATGTGTTAGATCAACTCTGAATGTGTTAGATCAACAGTCATGCAATGAATACCTAATATTAAATGATTTGTATGCATTTAAGTATTCGAGTGACATCTTTATTGAATTGTCGTCTTCTTTTTCATTTAGCGACCATCACAGTGACTTTTCACAGGTGCCCCTTTCTGCAGGATAGCTTGAAACTAATCACTGATGTCATCAATGACTCCTGATAACTGCTTTCCTGATGTAATTATATAATAATTAGATAAAAGCAGTATAGACAGATAATGTACTGTACAAAGTCAAACTCCTAAATTAATCCACAAATATGAAATACAATATAAGACGATGTATGCCTGCCTGGGCTTTTGCACTTAGAGTAATGTATTGTTGGTCCACTTAATGGCATGTTATGGTTCATTATCTGGTGGTTTGAGAGCATCTATTATGAGGCTGTTCTCTATTGTGTTTGACCTATGCTACCTAATTACCATGACTTACAGTGAGTGCAGATGCCAGCACCGCTCCACAGCACGCTCCTCTCTGACACATGTTGACAAAGGTGTTGTTTCACCTCTCTCCTCACGTACTGCCTCCGGGTAAACCGAGTTTTAAGATGCACATCTCAATGGTGGAAGGGTCACCTTTGTGTGCATGGCATGTCACACCCGCCAAGGTTAGTTCACTCAAAGCACTTGTGTTTGCAGCGCTACATGACCCGCATGTGTGATGTGTGAAGGGGATGTCAGAGCAGTGAGCTTTCTGCACTTGAAAAGGCTGCTCTTCTGACTCGTGGCTCTTTTATGCACGCTCTGCTACCTGGAGTAAAGGGCGCTCTGGATAAAGCATGCTGTGTTCTATTCTTAGGGTTAGTATTTGAAATGACAGAGAGGATGATAACAAATGACAAGTAAAGCAAGAAGCCTGCTTTGTAGTCAGTGTCAGTCAGAGAAAATGATCCTGCTCACCAGCTCATTAAGTAACTAAATATATAATTTATGTGTATGTTGTTGGTCTTGAAGCAAACACAGATGACTTATATTTCTATCAAAACAAGGTTTTATTGCATAAACATATATGGATATATATTATTTTCAGATTAGACAGATTAAACTTGTTATTTGCATTTTTAAATATCCACTCAGTTGGCGACTATTGCTGTTTTCTTTCTCCTTTTCTAAGCAGCATGCCAAGGTTTACATATAAAACCTGTGTTGGTAAAAACAAATCTTAAAAGCAACTCTGAAAAACATGAACATCATGATTTGATTCCCAGATGTACAGTATAATAATGTACACTTTAAAAGTGTTGATACAAGTTTTTTTCTACGAGTGCCCCTTACCAAACCATGAAAGGATGTCTGAATGGACGTGGACTTTGTTAAGATAGAGTGGTCTATGCTGGTTTCAAAAGGACCGTGATGCTAATGGCCAACAGTGAGAACATTGGTCAGATTTCAATGTGCCGAGAATATCAAAGACTGACTCACAAGGATAAGTGTAGCATACATTATATAGCAGTTTTCACAGGACTGTGAGGCAGTGAGAACATTTAATAAAAATCTAAAACACACATTATATTTTATTCAATGTCAATTTTAACCCACAGTGAGTACAGACTCTACCCTATACGACGTGAAACAGATGATGAAGATGTGACCTTGTTTTTGCATATTTATGAAAATGCCCTCTCCTGCACTCTGATTTGATTGATAGCTGGTAGAAACTAGAAAAAATGACTATTACAGTATAAACTGGACAGTCAAATATGTGAAAGTAGGACACATACCTACATTTAAACCAAGGCTATGCCACCACAAAGAAAGATTAAACTGATTCCACAGTCTTTCAAAAAGACATGAAAATCTAAACAACAACATGCATACTGATTTACAGTATAATACACTTTTTGCTGTGATACTTGATCTTACAAAGCAATTTTTTTTTAAAAGAAAGCCCTCTTCCCTTTATTTCCTGGACAGCAAACTCACATGGCTGCACGTAAGGTGATGGAAATATCTGGTATTGATTTCATCACACAACAGAACATATAATTGCCTCAAGATCCAAGGGGAGCACCGAGCAATTCAGGAATCCACAAACAGGATGTCGCCGTTATGGCACATTATGTTGCAACAAATGATCACCAACAAATGTACGACAAAGCTCATCAATGTAGGGCTGGGCAATATGGTTTAAATAATTGTCACATTATAAATGAAAATATGTTATCTGTTAATACCAAAAATGTATGGAATTTAGAAATAATAGACATTAGGTTTACTGTTTTGACGCGGATAATGACTTTAAAGGTCCCCTATTATACTGCTTTTCATCAATATATTACAGGTCTCAGATATATACAAACATGTCTCTGAAGTGTTTGGCTCGAAACACCAAACAGATCATTGCAGCATCCCATAATCCCCTCTGTTTCAGCCCTGTTTCAAAAGTGCTGATTCTGTGTCTGTTACTTTGATGGAAATAAGGACCACTCCCAACCAAGTTACCTTGGTTGGTGATTGGCTAATGGTTGCACAAGCCAAAAAATCGTTATGACATCATAAAGTGTCCAAAATCTGATCAGCTCATTTTCAGACAGGTTTTTATATAAATGGATCAGGACAAAAAGTGAGCCAATATTTTTTCCTGAAACTTTCAGAATCTCTTTACACAGAGGGGACACATGTTGATGTATAAAATACATGAAAAAGTGGATTTTGCACAATAGGTGACCTTTAAAATAACTTAATCTCAGTTGTTTGAAATGACTATTTGATCTAAATCTTCTGCTTAGACAACAGAATAATGGACATCATTACTGGTATGATACTATTCTAACAGTGGATTAACAATTACATTTCTGTAACGCAGAGCTCTACACCGAAAGAAAAAAGAAAATCCTCAAAAGTAATCTGTGGAGTCACTGGGATTTTCATCCTCGGGGGGCTCCATTATAAAGACGAGCATGACTGTCTGTTCTTGTCAAACCCCCTGACTCCAGTAAGCTCTTTAAAATTGTAGTGCTATCAGGTCGATGGTCTGAACCATAAACCATAGCTATGACTCCAGAAACTAACCGAGGTCCTGCATCAGCCACTTCAGTCTCAAAACCTGAGTGCTGGTGCGACAACACAATTTGGGTTCTTGGGGAAACACTTGGTTTTGCATTTAAGAAACAGTGAACCAAATCAGACCGAAATGTGACATCAACACAACAAATATCTAAGCTCAAATTCAGTGGCGTTGTTCTTCACTTCTGAACACCTTGTAGACATGGTGGTTCAAGTGTTTAGCTGCAGTTCTCATTTAAACCACTAGAATGCAACCTTTTCCAAAAAGAAACTGCTGCTGTACCTCCAGCGTGTCACAGCTCAACTGTATATCCCTGATTTATCTCACTAGTTTCCACCCTTCATACATTCTGCTGTTGGGAACAAACACTACATTACACAAGATAATTACTACTATATATACAGAGAGATTCATGGGAGCTAGACAAATGTTTGATATGGCAGTGTTCATACTGGCATGCTTTTTGTGCAGTTTATAATTACCACAGTTGGGCTGTATTACAAGGAGATATTGAGGTGAAGGATTTTTTACCAACGCATAACTGAAAACATGGGAATGTATATCTGTTCCTACTAATTATCACAAACCTTCATATATTTTCCTCTCAGACGGCCTGAGCTTATTATGTACTGTCTAGTGAAGGTAGAAGTTAACCGCTTCAACCCCCTTGAGAAATACATTTTTGGACTGTCTCTCAGAGTAGGAAGTTAATTTATCAGGAGAGACTTCAGATATTTGGTCCATCTGAAGCACAGAATTAAGTCAAAAAGAGACCTTTTCTGCTTTTTGCTTAAAATCCATGTGCTCCAGTATAGACCAAATCTATTTTGTGATACATTAGTTACTATCTTTGACACACCTACAGACAAAGAGATGATTCCCAAGTTTCCCCTCACTGAGTATTGAGTTGTGCTCCTTACACAAAGACTTCATGTGCCCTGACATTTAGTGGACTGAGTTGGTCGATGATGTTTAAACATGACTTTTTGAGATGTGATGGATTTACAATACATTTAAATACAGTGCCTAACATTCAGTGCTCTCATTCACTCACATTCAGCTACTTCTCTAAGGTAAATATGCAGTTGTTCATAATAACCACTGTTATTTTTAAATTAGGAATGGCTCAAAGCACCTGATAAACTTTTTCTGGTAATTAGAAAATCAAGTTTAAAGAGTGGTCTCTGTCAAAATAACACCCTCTATTTATTCTCACGTTTTTTTTTTATAAAAACATAATTGTTTCAGTTCTTTGTGACCCGTAAGTCCAGTAACTATACATGGTGACATCTTCAATGCAAAACAAATATATATTTCTCGTCATCTCACTCACATTTACTACTACTTCTAAGTTCAAATTAACCTAAAAAAACCTCAACTGATTGTTTAGAGAAGTGCTCGGGTTGTAGCTGGTCCTGCTTTGGTTGCAAAGACGAGATGTGAGGTCGTGGCTGTTCTGTCCACTCGCCATGCTCACAGTGCAATTGGTTACTCCATGCCGTTCCGCAGCATCTGATTGGCTGCGATGAGCATGACACTGATAATGAAAGCCATGGCGAAGGCGCAGATCAGGCTCTTCCTGACACACGTCTGCCGATTCTTCTTCTTGGGATGGACTGTGAAGAAGACAAAATAAATGAGAGACAGGTTTAGAGTTTTGGATTGTTAAACTCAAGTGTTGGCCTCTCGTTTGATGATGATTGGTTAACTTATCGACAGGTTTATTAACTTCAAAAGAATGATACAAAATAAATATATAATATGTGATTGGTTGACATTTTTGGCAATGCACTTCAAGATTGTTACCACTCTGTCTCTCACACTTTATATGTGACCAACATTATCTGGGGAAGTGATTTGATTAGAGGCACAAACTCAATCTAATACTCCCTATGATGCAGCAAAAACAAAGACAAGAGAAGTGACATCAAACTTTAAGGTTGTTCTACCTATCTGTGGGCTGAAAGACAGTTTCCCCCTAAAGACATAATCTCAGGAGATGGAAAAAAGAAGAAGAGCAGAGTCCGATGTGTCCTCCAACAGGCCTTGCAGCAAAAGCAACAACCAAAGGTTTACTCTCTTAGCTCCCTTGTCTTAGTTTGTTAGAATCACACGCTGCATCAATAAATCAACTCAGAGCTCTGAGTCGAGGATCTAAGAGGGACTGTGCAAGGCGTTGAAGTCCCAACGGACAGGAAGAAGATGGGAAGGACGCATGAAAGAGGGAAGTTGAGAATATGGGAAGATGGTTAATTGAAAGTAAAACAGCTGTTCTCTTCAAGAGAGGCTCTTTTTACCTCTATCTCTTTTAATTCTTCCAACTTGTCCTCTTTTAGCGCCTTTCGACTGTTTCCTCTTCCTAACTCCTTCCCTAAACACCCAAACACTTTCCAGCACTTCCCTGATCCGTTCTTTAGCCTCTTATCTCCTCCTTCACCGTCCCTGTATACTCCCTCTGCTAAGTTTCTCCATTTCCTCCCAGCTGTCTCCTTTTAGGCCTACCCCAGACTGTAGGCCAGTACCCAATAGATTCATTAAGACTTTCACAGTTTTCTAGCGTGTTTGATCTGTCTTTACCTTTGTGCTAGTCTGAATTGTGGATGTTTCACAGAAGTAAGGCAATTTATAGCTCTGCACCATAACTAAGACGAGGTCAGACTTCCTTTTTTTCTTCCTTCTCATCTCCCTAAAGCAGTGGTTCTCAAACTTTTTCTGTCATTCCCCACTTTGAATAGGTGGGCCTTTTCAAGCCCCACCTGTTCCTCATGGCTCCAATAAAATGGTAGGCCAAGCTTAAAATTGTCAAATGTATCGTTCTATAACAGGGGTCTCCAACCTTTTTTAGGATGAGGGCTACTTTCAAAAAATAAAACAAGTCGTGAGCTACTTTTACTCCTCTTTTTTGTTTTTTTGCAGTGTATATATTTAGCACATTTTAACATTATTATATCCTACCTTTAACCTTTGAGTGCTGTTTGGGTCTGTGGGACCCGTTTTCAGTGTTTACTAAAATAAAATGTATGCAATTTAATTATTTTAACCTGCTTTATTTGGTGGTGGACGTCACATCCTCTGGGTCCGGGGGCATGCACCCCCAGGAAGATTTTTTTTAAATGTTGAAGTTAAATGCATCAATCTGGTGCACTTTGAGTTAGGGCTGCTCAATTAATCGTATTTTAATCGCAATTACGATTTTGGCTTGCAACAATTATGAAAACAACATAATCGAAATAAAACGATTTTTTTAAAAAAAATAGGTTTTTCAGTTGAATTATACTTAAAGTTCAGGGTAATCAACTGTTAAAAACATACTTTTCTAATTATTTTCTTCAATAAATTGATGTTTTTCAAAGTAAATGGTTAATGGTTTTTAATAATCGTGATATCAATTATTGACCCAAATAATCGAGATTATGATTTTTGCCATAATCGAGCAGCCCTACTTTGAGCCCAACATGAATTGATGGATACAGCTCTCAACACTCAGATGAAAGGGAGCTGTATACTTTTCAATAATCCAAACATCTTTAGAATATGATCACAACAAATCATTTAAACTTGTTTATTCTTATCTTATGTTACCTAGTTAGCATTCTTTCTTTTTATTTATGCATATTTGACTAATCCCTCCCCTTTTAAACTTTTTACTGTCCTATACACATTGAAATGATTTCTTACTTTATATTTTACAACTTTATTAAATAGATAAAGGTGTGCTCTCTCTCTTGCTCTCTCTCTCTCTCTCTCTCTCTCTCTCTCTCTCTCTCTCTCTCTCTCTCTCTCTCTCTCTCTCTCTCTCTCTCTCTCTCTCTCTCTCTCTCTCTCTCTCTCTCTCTCTCTCTCTCTCCACATTGCTTTTCTTCCCGACTGCAACGCTGTTGTGTGTGTCTGTGAGAGCCTTTCACATGTGTCTATGAGAGATGTTTACCAGTGGCGAGCCTGTCTCTGAGGGCCTAAGATATTCTACAAAATAATATTTAAAAACATTAAAACAAATTATATTTTTCTTTATATATATTTTTTAAATATGTTTTTAGTAATATTTGTCATTAGTTTTACCAAAAATAACTTGATTAAATTGTATTTAAAATAACATTTCCAAAGAAATAAATCCTTTGAATCTGCCTATTCAGTTTCTGTTTGAATGTGAAGGGTTAAATGAAAGAAGCTCCTCTCTGCGAGTTACTGTGAAGAGAGGAGCTGATTGGACGTCCAGCTATGAATTCACAGAGGGCCAGCTATAGTAACTGAACGAAAGAGTAATGTCAAATGACAGTACAATTGACCAATCATATCTTCCCTCTAAATGGGTGGGCTTTATTATCGCGGACTTTATGACAAGTTCCGCCCGCTGTGAAACGTTTCTTGTTTCCATAGCAACAACAACTGTCAACAGCGTAAACTCGCCTTCAAAATAAAAGCATGCCAAATTAAGACATACAACTGCAACGAAAGTAACAAACACAATGCAATATCCTTTTCAATTTCAAAGAACACAAATTGGGTTATCTACAGGTGTTGTTTTGTGTGGTAGAGGGTCGCTTTCATTGATGCGTTTTGCACCCCGGGCGGGCCGTTGTTTTGATATTCCACCAGTGTGAAAAAAAAGGAAAAAAATAATTTAAATAATTTGTATTTAAAAAAAATAATTTTTCGCGACCCACCTATCACATCTCTGCGCCCCACCAGTGGGGCGCGCCCCACACTTTGAGAAACGCTGCCCTAAAGCAACATAACTTGGTCTGAAAGTATTTCTCAACTAAAATGCCTTCTGTGTTGGGCACTCAGATATTAACAACCTGTCCTCTTCTTGGCTTTGAAAAATAAAGAAATGAATGCATGACCTCAAGATTAATAGATGTTATCATTTAAATATCACATCTGTTTTCCTGAATATACGTCAGCATTCATGACCTTGCCCTCAGGATCTCTTTGTTACAAATAAAACATCTGTGGTGGGTAATGATTATGGTAAAGCAGCACATTTAAAATGAGGAATTTTCCCTTGAATCTTTCGGTGCAAGGCTAAGAAAGTCATTTAAAAGCATGTTTGTTAATCAATAAGTATTGAGTGATATATCTTGGATTCCCATGGATGTACATTTTAATGAGTCTTACGTTTTAGCCTTTGAACAGTTGCTTTGAGTAAACATAATGTTTTTCCACAAAATGAAAATAATTCACTCAAGATCTGTCACGTTTTCTTGATGTAGCTATAGGTAGCAACTAGCTATCTATATGAAAAAAATACTCAAAGCTTATTGGTTTATTATCTCTTATAAACAGCTGAAACAGCCATCAATTACTCTCACAAGACCAATAGGAAAGGCTCAAGAAATCTGAATTGTGGGTATTAATTAGAGTTCTGGAAACAGGCTCAACCCTGTTTACTTATGCTAAGCTACAGTATGCTAATTGCGTCTGGCAGTAGCTCCATATTTAAGTGAACTCTAACTCTGGCGAAAACACAAACATTGCTATTCCAAAAATGTTGAACTTAAACGAACGGATTAAGCTCAGATAATTTATTTGTAAACGTAGGTAGATTTGGTTTGGAGATAAAAGACAAGGAATCCATTATGACCTAAAACAACACAGACAACAGACAGACAGTCACATCTAAGCACATTTAAAAACCAGTAGTACTAACATGAGCAATCCACGAAGTTAATGAATGAATAAATAAATAGGCATTGCTTCCATAGCATCTGTGTGATGCTGCTACAACTCATGCTGAGTCATCGTCCGACATAGAGCTGGATAATCGCTGTAACTGCCTGAGTTACAGAAATTAAGCACGTTTTTTGGAGAATATTTTGGTCATAGATACATTAACTCATACTCAACATAACTTTCTAAAATAGCCCATCAAGTGAATTACAAAAGACTGCAGCAACAGTACAGGTATTAATAACAGCAAAGTTTCCAAGAGAGCAGCTTCCTCACCTCCCTCGTACTCAGGGCAGTTTCCTGAGCTTTCGTTGAGGCCTTCCTCCTCAGTGATGATGATGTTCTCGATGTCCTTCATTGTCAGGTGGTCCCTGAAGGCGTGGAACAGCACCTGCTTCAGCTCATCCAGAGACAGCTGCTGCATGTCAAACTGCAGGGGCACAAGACAATCAATGCAGACACTGTCACCCACAAACTGGCTATATGAGGGCAGATAAATATAGAAGATACGACTGAGGTGTGAAATGTACAAGCTGCATGAAATTATGGCATGCATGGATTGCTTTTAAATGTGTTTATTTTTATGTACACGTTATAAGAAGGGATGATGTGTGTTGTAATGTATTGGGCTGGCAGCATGTTTGCCTATGCATCACTGGTTCTATTTTTGGGTGCTAGAATCAGTATGCAACCTGTGTGTGCTCTGATAAAGGGGGATGCAAGCGCAATTGGTTTAATGGATGTATCAATTACAATGGAAATACCAGCATACTAACGTCCTTGTAGGTGGTTGTTTTCTCAGTTGTGTGTGCATGTTTGTGTTTAAAATGATTAATGGGCTCAAAGTCTGAATCTTAGCCTCTGTCCCATTCCCTGTCTGCCCTTCCTAAACATTACGTCCTTGCTGCCCCCACAGATCCTCTCTATAATACATACACACACTTGCACACCCCCTCCTGGAACCCACTATCATCCAGGTCCAGGTTATTTACCTCACAGACAGCCACAAATACAATCAGTCGCTTGGTTTAGCACAACAGATGGACATACTGAGGCAGGCGAGGCAAAGAGGAAGAAGATAGGGGGTATATTTCTCAAGAAAAACGAAAAGGACATACTGTATGATGGAAAAAAAGTAAAGTGAAGTCAGAGAAAATTGAGATGAAAGAAGTAGTGGAACAGTGAGATGGAGTAGGGTTGGGTATCGAACCTCTGAGTAGTTTGACATTGGAGAAATGTTGCTACTACTTTGAAGATCGATACCGCTCTCATTTATGTTCTTTAAATATGTAACATTTGCTTCAGGCTGGAAACAGGGGCCTGGCTCCTTCTAAATGTAACAACAATCAGACCAGAACCAGAACAAAGAAAGATCACTTTTTGTTTTTGAATGTGCCTTTTTTTTCTTTTTTTAAACGAGCAGTGACTTTCTAGAGTCAAGTTGTCCCTATTAGGTTGCCAGGCAACTAGCGGAGACTCTAGCAAGTCACAACACCGTCCAACAGTTTAAGCAACTAAGATAAGTAAAAAACAAACCAGATAACATGCTTATTAGAGAGACTTCGGTGCAAGAGTTTCTACAACAGTCATGATGCTTCCAGCTGTCTCATGGTTTATATTTAAATAACAGATATGACAGTGGATCCGATGTTTTTGATGTCTAATGCTCAGCAAAAAGCTAGTCCTTTAATACATAATTGGGACAAATATTTGAACATGGTTTTGTAGAGGACCTCATTTTGGGTTTGGTAACACAACCCAGACATCCTTTTGTTTTTGCACTAGTATTACAAAAATTCAAATTAAACCCAGCTCTATTTTTGGATGTTCTCTGCAGTCAGATTACAACAAGGCAACAAAGTAATCAGTGGAACATAACCACAATATAATGCAATATTTTAGAGGTATGATATCATCTATCAACAGGCAAACATGAACATGATGAGACACACACACACACACACACACACACACACACACACACACACACACACACACACACACACACACACACACACACACACACACACACACACACACACACACACACACACAAAACTGGGACATTGCAGTAAATATGAGAATGATTTATTTCATGCAATAAATCATTATGTCTCTAACGTTTACTTTTCACCCTCTCAAATGTTCATACTCTATCTGGGATCTAAGGTTGAAGATAATAATTGTGTGCAATCAATAATTGAGTTCCATTTCTGGATCCAGCCGAAATGACATTTTCTTTCTTTTTGAAAAGGTTTGGTTTCACTTTTAGAATATGAAACAGGCAACAGTGACAGGAGAAGTTAAAGACAGATGGGTGGTCTCACACAAAGAAGAAGATTCTAAATGATGGCATCATAAATTGTTGGCATATAAAGATAAAAAAACACAATCCAAAAAACGAGTTAGAGAACAAGCTGTTGTCTATGGGCTATCAGAGTGACTTAATCTCAGATCTATCTTCGAAACCCTACCTTTTCAGTAGGTCGTTTATGGGATCATATTATAGGTTTTTATGGTCAATCAATAACACAGATGCCGTTTTACAGTTAGAGTTTCAACAGCTCTGACCCATGCTACCTTGTGTGGTTCTCCTTCTTGCAAAAGGTGTCTCTCCTTAAGGGAAATGGAGCCACATCTTTTCAGACTGCAGCCGCAAGACAGACAAAATGACAGCTCAAGGAGCGCAGAGTATTTTCAATGTTCCTGTCAGTCTGTCTGAGGGGGGAAAAGCCACTGTGGAGCCTCTTCATGTTAGCAACCAGGTGAGTGATTTCTCCTCCTGTCTCTAACGGGTGTACACACACACACACACACACACGCACACACACACGCGCACACACACACACACACACACACACACACACACACACACACACACACACACACACACACACGCGCACACACACACACACACACACACACACACACACACACACACACACACACACACACACACACACACACACACACACACACACACACACACACACACACACACACACACACACACACACACACGAGGGGCAGGGGATGTAAATATTCTAAAGTTTGACTGTCTGAGTATTTTGTCTTTCAATGAATAAACTCAATTATTGAGTTGTGTCTGGGTATGTTCGTGTTTGACATGAAAACAGCAAGGGATCGTGCCCAGTGACCGGTGACGGAGCGAGGACACATCAATCAGAAGAACAGGTGCTCAGACGTCTCTTTTAATCCTGCCCTCGTACAGAACAAGCTTTCTGTCAGTCGTCCACATGCTTTGTCTTCTGACCCTTCTCTTAAAAGTCACCCAGAGTGACAACCTGCTTTGTTTTATTCTGTACTTGTTCTGTCCTATTCTTCTGTCTAGCAGCAGTGCCGTCAGGGTTAGGTGGAAACTCCAAGTTCAAAGGAAGTTTCTGTCCCACTTTGTACGTAAGTGATTTAACAAGACTATACCAAGATGCACATATGTTCTCAACACTGTGTGCACACAATTGCAAACTAAAACATAAAGAGGACACTTTTTAGTGTAAAATTGCAGGTAAGATACAGCCAACCACAGATGAATCATGGATGAACTAAATCCACAGAAGAAAAATATGTCACAATCGAATTTTATGAAATGCAGTCTGAAGCAAAATATTCCCCAGTCAAGGTGCTGACATAAAAAAGCCCCGTCATAATCCTTTTTTCAACACCAATGTAGAGTAAATAATACAAGTGAATGGGGTCAACATTTTAACTAGATGTCACCATCAAGCGTCCCCAGCTGATGGCTGACATAAACACTTTTTTATAACAAGTTTTCGAAAATTGCAAGTTCAAATTTGCATATTAGGCATTTTATTTATTAAACAAGTGCTAAGCTGAGTGCTGAGAAATAACATATTCTGTGAGAAGACCTTTAAGGATAGGCATGTACACTACAGTATAGGGGGACATTCCATATATATCATGCAGAGGAATAGGGTTAACTATTTACCTAATAGATATCACTATGAAACTTCCAGAGCACTTAACTTGTTTAAATGCTAATTTCTATCATTTTCTACAAACCGAAATAAATGAAGCAAAACAAATTTATGTGAATTTTTGTTTTCCTTCCACTTGTCTGAAATAAGTAACCTTATGACAAGTGATGGAAGCAAAATAGACCAACATTCCCAGACAACCCAGTGTATTCAAAATTATGTTTTTGCATGTAGCCGTAAAATAATTACAATCACAGTAGCACTTTGGATAAAACCATCCACAAAATGGCAGTAATTATGTAACATTTTTTATTTGGCATGGGTCATCACTGCAGCCGGTCTCAACAGACGCAGACGGCAGCTATAAGTCTGTCACTTGGTTCTCTCTCCTTTATCCTGCTGGTCAGTCTCTGTTTTCATTAACAATAACAGGTGGTTGACAGACAAAGCGTCAAGTCAATAGTAAAAAAAAAGTGTATATAACTTTTACTTATCACTTTTAACGTGACTTTTGACACAAATGAGTCCAGACTGGGTGTTTCAAAAGTTTCACAGTCTGACATTTGATTTTCACACTGTGGAAATAAATCGACATCATTAGCTGCCTGGAGAGACTCACCCGAAATAAATGACAGAGTAGGTTTTTCAAGTGATTAAAATGACTTTTTTGAGGAAGTGACCTCTTTCTGTCTTACAATAAATGACTGTTCTGTCTTTTTCACAAAGGTGGAAGTAGAATAATGGTGTTACTGAACATTACAGGGTGTCTTGGAAAAATTCGAGGTGAATGGTTGACATTTGGAGACCATGACTAACTTCCCATATCATAACTCAATGTTGGTTTGTTTTAGCCATGACCACATTTTTTTCCTATCATTAGAGCAGAAGTTTGAGATTTTTTAGAGGTGTTGGTGGGTGGACTGTTGTGTTATTGTTAACAGTGACGTGCGGTGAGGTTCATGGCTGGTGAGGCACTGACTCTTTCAGAGTCAGATTTACAAATATTATATTTTGACCTTAATCGAAATGTTCGGTTATTTTCAAAAGCTTTTTTAGTCTGATGCTTCGATTCATTTTAAACAGACTGTTCAACAAAAGGATACCCAAAATCTAAATATTGGATTGTTCTTTCTTAGTAAGATTCCATGTTCATTACAATTGTGGTCTTACCTTGACTTGAAGATGAAGTCCATGCTCTCCTTCTGGACAACAATCTCCATTACATTTTTGTAAAAGTCCTCCTTATCTTCCTCTAGTTTCAAAAGTCTAGTTTGTTGTTTGCGTCTACCGTCTCTGCGTAGAATAACAGTAGCAACAAGAACCCGTGGGCTCACGTGTGCCCCCGTCAGTGCGGCAGAAGTTATGGCTGCCTCTCCTGGTGCTTTTTTCATTGCCGTTGTATGATGAGACCAGCGAGCCTAAATATCATATATACGTGAAATAAGTTATTTAGAGACTATGGATGGCGAGGATAAATGTAATAAAGGGATCTACAAACATTACATTGGTGACATACGGTGAGATGGTGCAGGCATGCGCTTAGGGCCCGCTTTCCAGCCAGTTTATGTGGGGTGACGCATTCTGAGGTGAGGCAGATCTCATCTGTGCCTCACCTCACCACACAGTAACTGGCTTGAGCGCGCTCACAAAATAAGTGCCCGCGCTACATTAGTGCCCGCGCTCCAGCCAGTTACTGTGGGCTTACGTGAGGCAGAGCTCGTCCCTGCCTCACTTCTCATCGCTCCCATGTAGGAGTTGTAGCGGAGCTCGGCCAATTTGCTGATTTTGACTATAAAAAGCGATTGGAATCATACAGAAATCACATTTACAACACAGATCAGTGGAGACATGTTATTATTATTACTATTTAGTTTTTCTTTAGTTGTTTCTCCGTTACATTGGAGTATGACAGGTGAGGCTCTGCCTCCCCTGACTGCACGTCACTGATTGTTAGATAGATTACACCTGTTTACAGTCTAACTAAAGCTGCTGGTGGAAGCTTGATATTTTCTGTAAAGACTTGAGACTGTATCAATCTTGTATCTCAAAATATTGAACACATTTTTAAACATGTAGTTGCATAAAATCAAACATCTAGCTAACCAAACACTGCAGCACTTTAAACTTGAATAATCAAGACTTTGCTCTGTTATTTTTCTATGTTTGCCTCTAAGGCATCTGGAGGAAAAATACTTTTTTTTAAAACAAATTCAACGTGGTGAGTAATTTATTTATAAAATATATTTTTCTGGGTCAAGTATTTTAGGTTTTTAGAATATTCTGCAGACATCTATCCTGCACTCTCTCCGTGCTAAAATAATGCATAGACTTTAAACATTGTTGTGATAGCTTAAGCTTGTTTTGGTTTGACATCTTTAGGGATTGTATCTTAATTAGCAGTGGAAGACTGGGTGCTTCCCTATTCCAAATCTAATTTACGGACCGTCAGCAGAAATTATATAACTTGAGTCAGGAGTTTTTCAAAGCAGATATCCAAATTTCCTCGAGCTTTTACTCAGACCATGCTCCAGTGGAAAACATTTAACTCACAGGAGCAGGATCACGTGCACGAACAAAAAGTATTCAACACATTCGCACACACAATGCAATCATACACAAAACGTGCCGACTCCGGTCACCTTGAAGAATCATTAAACATCTCACTGTGCAGAGATAATATGCGCACATGTGCTCAACTGAGTCATTATGGCCCACTGTGATGTGCCTCTTTCTCTTTTCAATACAATAACTTTCCCTGTCTCCCTCTGAGGTCTGTGTAATACGCACGCACGCACACACGCACACCACGCGCACACACACACACACACACACACCACACACACACACACACACACACACACACACACACACACACACACACACACACACACACACACACACACACACACACACACACACACACACACACACACACACACACACACACCACACACACACACACAAACGCTCTCACTGTCCCCAGAGACAAACTTCCTCCCACCATTGCATCCCCCTCCTCCTCCTTTCTCTTCCTATATTCTTTTGCACTCTGCTTTCATTTCTCCTGCTTCTCTCTTCCGTCTCTAATTTTTATTTCCCCTTCTTCCTGTTTTCTTTTAGTCTTTCTTTCTCTTTGTGGGAGGTGAACATTTTAAATCATCCCTGAGACGAACACTGTCTGCGACCTTCATGAATCACAGGCTTTCATACCGCTCGTTTCATTTTCTCCCACTCTCCTCCTTTGTGGTTTTCTTTTATATTCCTGCATCCTTATGTGGGGCACAGCCATCACCTCCTTCCACTTCCACATACAGTGCATTGTCCAGCTTGCCTCTCTACATCCTCTTCTCTCTTTCAGCCACACTCGTGTGTCTTGCTCCATCCTTCAATGTGTCTCGTTGAAGCAATCCATTCCCCGCATTTGAAAAATAAATGATTTTGATGTTTAATTCAGAATATCCCGATGTATGAATGGCATAGACTCAGAGCCTTGTTTTTTTTTTAGCCATATTATCTCAAGTGATTGCACAATGAAATCAAGAATAAAGAACGTTTATGTAAATGTGGCCCAGACTGGGCCACATTTACATAAACGTTCTTTATTCTTGTGTGTGCGTGTTTCAGGTTACAAACACACACTGGGCCAGTGTGTGTTTGTAACCTGAAACACGCACACACCTCATTTCAGTGAGTCACCCTCTTAATGTTTCTCCTTTAATTTGACTCAAGAAAAGCAAAAAGAACAGCTTCCTGAGATTTGATGGCCTGCTCAAACATCGGTCTCACACTCACACTGCCCCCCCCGCTCCTACACCTGCACTTTTCATTATTGTCTCATGTGTTACCTGAGAGGTGAGGAAGAGTAGTGATAAAGCACTCTGAGAGCAGCACATTTTCCTTACGTAAAAATGTCTAAAAACAAAGCAAGCACGTTCAAAAGTATGCAGATGCGCTGTAGCCTTAATCCCCAGTGGGCCCAGTTTGGACACTTGAAAGCACACAAGCTCAGACTTTCCAAATAATGATTATGGTAATACCCTCTGCAACACTGGGAATGATATCACCGCAAAAACATACTCACATAAAGAAAATAAAAAAATAAAGAAAATACTTAATGTTCAGCAGGTCTCTTTTCCTTCAAGGCCCTGAGTCATAAGCAAGAAAGTCTCTAAAGAAGCGAGTGTGGGGCCTGAGAGTCTGTGTCTGTGTGTGTGTGTGTGAGTGTGTATTTTTGCTCTTAAGTAGGTGTGTGCAGAGCCTCTGCATAAAGAATGGCTTGTTCTTAAGGATGTAAGACTCTATCTGACACAGTGAAAGGTGAGGAAGAGTAGTGATAAGTGATGAGGATGGATAGTGATGAGAAGCAGATTCAAGCATCAGAAGGAAAGAGGAGGTTTTGTCTGTCACCTGCCAGAAGATGTTGTCGATGGTGGTGCCTAGGAACCCTTCTCTGTTGTCAGAAGACAGCAGTTTGGGCCCCAGTATCGTCATGAACTCCTCAAAGTCCACCTGGCCATCCCCTGCACACACACACACACACACACACACACACACACACACACACACACACACACACACACACACACACACACACACACACACACACACACACACACACACACACACACACACACACACACACACACACACACACACACACACACACACACACACACACACACACACACACACACACACACACACACACACAGCGCGCACACACACACCCACACACACACACACACACACACACACACACACACACACACACACACACACACACACACACACACACACACACACACACACACACACACACACACACACACACACACACACACACACACACACAGTCAGTCAGGAAAGCTGGCAGACAGGAGCTGAATAATGCATTTTGGTTCGGAAGTTTATTCGCTTGCAGAAACAAAGAAAATCTCCCTGAGATAGATCGACAGATGGATGTTCCCTCATCCGTGACAAACACCCATGCATCATCAGCACTAATTCACCTTTTGAATAAGGTGTGTGCACCTGTGCAAGTGTGTGCAAGCCATTGTGGGATAGTTCTTGCATCGATGTGACAATTCAGGGAACATTTCGCCATTTCAAATTCAAGGGACACAGCTTGAGAGGGTTGGCATTACGAATTCTACCGGTGCATCATGTTGGAGATAGCAATCAACAGCCAGCGTCCCACAGCATTAATACTCAGAGAACATCTCCCGATATTATGTTCTATAACTAACAGAGTCACTGCATGAATAGTTTTATACATATATATAGCCAATATTGATATTATCACCTGTAAAAAAATTCTCTAATGTTGTATTTGTTGTTTTTTATAATAGGCCACATATTGAAGGGAATAAGATGCTTAATTCTCCATGCTGCTGGAAGTAGGAAAACACTTTATTTAATGGGTCTGTAATTTCTGAATAATGTGATTTAGTGCTAATTACTGGGTACATATAGAGACAATATGAAAGTGACACTCTTGTAATGAATGAATTCTATTGAATTAATTGCTGCGTAACCTTGGAAGTATTAAGTCACTGCTCTGCAGGCGAGCCGAACAAGCACAAATGTGAAATCTGTCAACAGGCAAGCATCCAATTCAACATTTAAGGGTAGTTAAGTTTCAATGATTTCAGTGTGAATGGATTGATGGATAGCTCAAGGAAGATTTCATTTTTGCCCTACCATAAGTTTCAAATTACACATTTATTGTCAGGGAACTTCTTGCAAATGACCTTTGAAATAAAGCGTTGTCTTGTATTACAGAATATTATTAGCACCAAGCAGGCATCAGTTCTCTGTTATAAAACATAACTGCAGTTTCTAAAAATGTAGCTTTTAATTAGCATAATATAATCTTGTATTTAAAGACTACTTTGCCTAAAGAGGGAAAGATATAAATATAATGCCAGAGATCAGTGGATTCAAATAACCGAAGCAGGGATTTAATGACATTACATTAATCATCTGAAGGAGCGTGCAGGTTGTCTAACACCTGATGATAATTGACATTCTGAAATGAAATGTGGCTGCGACCGCTTTCAGTGACTTATTAGAGCCGACATGGAGATGATAGAAGTCAGGGGAGCAGAAATACTCTCTCCCCTCAGAACAAATGGCAGCGCTGCTCTCAGAGGCTCGTAACACTCATGGAGGCAAAAGCAAAAAAGCTTTTAGCTGTGACCTTTGATATTTACCGCATGCTGTGGAATCAAGAGCAGGCAGATAAGAGCCAGAGGAAAGATTGACTAGCTTGTTTGTGATTCAGGGACTGCTTAGGATTAATTGCAATTGTCTACGGATTTACAATGAGGGCCGGAATTTAAGGAGAAGGAGCAGACAGGTTCGCTCTTTATTGTCTCCAGGGTAATTTATTTTCGACAGTTCACCATCTGCGAGGCAATTTAGAGACAATTTATCAAAAACATTGTTAAGGTGGCTGTAACTCGAATGTTCATTTAGCCTAAAGCAAGTCAAATAAACATTTAGTGAAGTGTTTTTGGCATCTTTAACAGTTATTTGTATTATTTACTGCACAGTTAACTCAGATATTCATACAGTTTGCTTTCAATTCTTCTTCGTATTTGAATTCAGAGACAACAACTGATACAAACACGTGCAGACTCCTGAAAGCGACTTCATGAAAAGGTCAACTCTGTGTGTGTGTCTGCATGCATGCACCCAAGTGTGTGACCTTATGTAGTGGCTCACCATCCATGTCCAGTCTCTGCATGATGATGGCCAGCTCCACTTCGCTGGGCATGTAACCCAGGGAGCGCATGGCCATGCCCAGCTCCTGCTTGGAGATGAAACCATTCCCATCACGGTCCAAAATACGAAACGCTTCACGGATCTCTGCACGACAAATACACAACATATCACTGTACATCCTATGAGTATTACATGAGATCTACTATATCTCTTAAGAAATACCAATAGAGTGCCTTTTATGCAATGCTTTGATACATTCTGGTGGATACGTGTAGTTTGTATGTCAACTTGAATGTGTTTGTCGTGTGGTGCTGAATGATGTGAGGGTTTCTGGGTTGGGAGGTGGGATAAGAAGTGAATATACATTTTACATAACCTTTGTTTTGTTAATGTTTTGTGTTTAAACATTGGGACTCATCACAGCAGTAGATTATTTCCTTGTCTATACTGCTGTAACACTGCGGTTGTGAACAAGACTGAACATGTTCCTTTGTCCAAACACTTGACAAAAACATGACATATGTTATTTTTATGTTTTCTGGCAAGGAGTTGATGTGGTTGTGTGAAGGCAGAAATAGTGTAATGTTGTCATAGCAACCTAAAACCGCTTAGGGAGGAGGTCGGGCTGGCTGTGTGACTTTGGCACTTTGCATCTCTTACCTCTGATCTGCTTTCGGTTTCTTTTAATCAACCCCGAAATCTTTCCCTAACCCTGAAGTGATTCATAATCAATATCTTATAACAACCATGGATTAAAAGTCCTCTTGCAAGTTAAACGGGTCCATTTAATGAATCTGAACAAGGGGTTCGATTGACTCACCGACAATAAGGGCATCGCATCAGAAAATCCTGATATGTGTCAAGTCAAAAAACCTAGCCTACTGGCTGTTTAGTTTTGAGGACTTGTTGGAGTTGTGACAATGGAAATAGCTCATAGACGTACACACTGTTACAGGGAGCCATTAGACAGTGTGTGTAGATGAAATGAATGATTAACAGATTTGAGCAGGTGTGTGGACGGTGCTGAAAGGTGCTTCCCTGGTGCTGATAACAGGCCTTCCCATTAACTGGATGTGTTACAACCTTTCTCACAGGCAAATGAAGGTGAGAGTGATCTCCCGCTCTCCTTCCTCCTCCCCCTGTCTCTTCCTTGTCTCTCTTACATCTTTATATACTTATTGTATTTTACAAACCCTAAGGGGACTGTACCAATCCTTCCACACAGCACAATCTCCACCAGCGATGCCAAGAGCATTTCCGACTCTCTCCTCCCACATAAAATGCTTCCTTCTAACTTGAAATTGCAAGTAAACGCACCCATCTCACGAGGCATCTATCTGTTCGCGCAGCAGACTTGTTGAAACCTTTGAGGACTTCCTTAGAAAATACCCTGGTCAATATCGGACTAATTACCTGCCAATCTGTCGGCACTATCCGAGTGGAGGTGATCCAATTGATCGACTTGACAACCGAGACAGACTTTGAAAGTCCTTATTCGATTTATTTTGAGTGGATCTCTACACTTCAGAGACGTAAGAGTTTGTCATTGCAGCTGGCATTCGGCATTCATGCAGATCTTTACAGGAGAAATGCAATGGAGAAGAGGGGGCTTTCTTGTCTACTTTCGAGCTAGTGTTATGGCACACCCTCTGTAACTTTGGCCAGGATGATCATAATCTCACCAAAATTACACTTGTGTTAGTTATTCCACTCGAGTTCAAGCAAACAAAAGCAATTCACTCTGAGCCTATCAGGTGAAAAATGAAAGGGGTGCTTCTAAATCTGTCGGTGTTATGGCTGCCGGATCTGGCAACCCCCTCTGTAACTTTGGCCAGGATGATCATAATCTCACAAAAATCACACTTGTGTTAGTTATTCCAGTGAAGTAAACAAAAGCATTCACTCTGAGTCTACCAGGTGAAATATTAAACAAAATATCCCTGAGATGTATCCTTTTTCCAATTTATAACAACAACATTTGCATGAAGTAATTTTCTCCGTCTCTCTCAGGCTGTGTGTCATTAATATTCTTGTATTGACAAGCTGCTCTTTTCTCTGTACGTGTAATACGTCTGTCTCGGATCGGTCTATTGCCCCGGCCACACGAGGACGAAAACGGCCGTTTGCGTTACTGTTTAGTGTCATATAGACCATTCGGCCATACGAGGACGACCGAATACGGCACTAAACGACTGAGGAAACGATAACGGGTCCCAATGTGGATAGAACGGCATACGCAACGCTCTGGGGGGTCAAACGGCTCCGTGTGTGCGCCCTATACGAACATTTTCTGATAGTGATTGCGCAATAGCAATAGCCCCGCCTCTCCCCACCTCTGCTGCTCACCCCCGCGTCAAAGTAAACTGCACACTGAATTCAGATTATTTATCTTTCTCTCGATATGGACATAAACGCGAGAGAAGTCTAATCTGACAGGACGGAGACACCTCTCAAACTACCTAAACTAGTTATAAATATGTTTATTTTTACTGTCGGCCGGGTCACTCATTACTGGATCAGCTGCTGCATGAGACAGACACTGACGCTGTCCAAAGAGAGGGTGGAAAAAGAGAGGCTCCGTGTATTTATTATTATATTATATAGAGTCGTTATTCATTTGTTTTAAAGCTCAATAAATAACAAAGAAGACCTTTGACCGGCACTTTTATAATTTTGTCGGAAGATTTCAACTTTAATTCACGTTGACTGGCGAAAAACTCTACCCGATTCCCTCGGCCCCCACCGCGGAGAATAAACAGAAGGGCAACCATGCTTCTTCGCTGCTTTTGTGGAGGAAGTTACAGCGCCACGTACAGGCTCCTGCATATGTACTGCAGCTTCTCCAGTGGTTGGAGCTAAACGGAGCGGTCTCGTGTGGGCAGACACTATCCGGATAACTATTGCGTGTGGACGGAAGCTTGTTTGCAATTGCGTTTGCGTTAATCCTATGCGTTTAGCCGTTTTCGTCCTGGTGTGCCCGGGGTCTATAACTGTCTTTGCTCTGTCAGCTGCGCCAGAGCCAAAGTTCAGTCGCAGCTCCCGTATAAGCCTGCAAATATCCCCAGCTGCCTTACTTTCTCGCTCACTAAATAAAGTGAGAATCAGAGGCGAGGGATTGGGGAATGCGGGCAAGCATGCAGCCTCCCAAAACAAAGTGAATTTGTATGCAGCTCAACAGTGAAGAGTACATTTCCAATAGGGTACAAATGAGCTGGTCCTTGATGTATTACCGCACAATGCCTGTGTGTGTGTGTGTGTGTGTGTGTGTGTGTGTGTGTGTGTGTGTGTGTGTGTGTGTGTGTGTGTGTGTGTGTGTGTGTGTGTGTGTGTGTGTGTGTGTGTGTGTGTGTGTGTGTGTGTGTGTGTGTGTGTGTGTGTGTGTATTTGTATGAGCATGCAGCCCTGCCTGTGTGTGGCTGTGTATTATGAATTCAACCCTCCAGGACTGTACATGTTCTCTCTGTGATTGATGAAACTCGTCAAAACCAGAGAAAAGGAAAGTTGCAATCTCACACAGGATTGATTAACTGGCCTTCTTTCTGCACTAACAGATAGAAGAACCTTCAGCAGCTCTCTGAAGTGGGATTAAGAGTTTTCAGATGCTGGCAGCAAACACCAAAGATATTTTGTCCACATCAAACAAGCCAATTGGTTGCATTAGATCTGCGGCTGACAGGGCTTAGATAATGCCTCAGCATGATGTCTGGACTCTAAGTGTACACATTATATATATATACATATATATATAACATCTCAATAGGTCCAAACGTTTTTGTCCTCCTAGCTGTCCTTGACGAACAAAACCCAGACAGGCCAACCGGTCTAATGATGGTACTGCTTTCAGCAAACAAAGCAACTGTTTTAGTGAACTGGGTTGAGTTGAGTTGTGCACAAGGGACACTGGATTAAAAGATGTATGCTACAAAGTGCTTCTTACCAAAGCGCATTCGAGCCAACTACAATACGCCATATGTATAAACAAACAGCTTCAGTCAGAGACACACTCTCTGTCCTAGCTCCGTGTCAAGATTAGCTGTTTCGTTCATGTTAGAAATATATGCACTTGGTGCAGTTTAAAGGTGCATGTAAAGACGTTCATTATCCTCCAGGATCCTTCAGCCTGTGGTCATTGGTGCACTCACTTAACACGCTTCTTATTATCCACTTTTGATTTCTGCAACGAAAACAATTGGATAACCTTGATTACATTTTTTCTTACAAGTCAATTAAGATAATTTAACCTTTCATGTCCTTTTTTTAAGCATTCTTACATTTCGGGAATAATTTGGTGAGTACAATGTTATCATTGCTGATACAACCAATGACTAGAGCTACACAAATTAAAGCAGTATTAAACATACTTTACCTTGAATTCCAAGGTTGTTCTTAAGAAAACTCTTTGGCCGTATTATACTCAATATTACAAAATACATTTATAAATTCATTCAAACATTGAACCACAATCTAACCAAAAACATCACTCCTAACCTAAGTCTAGGAGCTTTTAATGTAAATTGACAAACATGTGTTTTGAGTTTTGATTTTCGGTTGTTGAGAAACACAACAGGTGGATTTTGCTCAAATTGTCAAAGGGCAGTTTTACTTTTGTATTGGTTTATGTTCTAATTATTTCCAAAGCTTGCTTTTGTGAGAGCTGATGGCACCAATTTTTCTAAGATTGACTGAAAACTTGAATTAGAAAACCAACATCAATCATTGGTGTCGTTCTTCAGGCTGTCTATATTTTATTCCCTTTCATTCTGAGTCCTGTGACTGCTTTAATTTCATAATCACAGTCATTGGAAACCAATGCATCCAGTCAAGCTGTGACAAAGGGGCTAAATGGAAAAGAGAATTGAGGCATTGTAACTGCATTTTTCCAGCAGTGAAACATTAATTGCTAGTACCTCACACTTTGCTCCGCACCCCCACCACCTCCCACCCTCTCTCTGCGAGACCACTCACCTCCCAGCTCCTCGGTGGAGATGCTGTTGAGCTGGAAGGCTTCGTTGCCCTCCGTCAGGGAGCTGCTCAGGTAGTTGTCTGGATAGAGCAGGCCCGCCCGCACATGGTGGAATGGCATCTTCTCCCTGCAGATCACACACACACACACACACACACACACACACACACACACACACACACACACACACACACACACACACACACACACACACACACACACACACACACAAATCAACAGGTAAGAGGGATTTGAGTATCAGTGTGTGTGTACCCTCGATGTAAATCCTGACTACCAGCACAGAGGCAGTCCAAACTTTTTAAGAGTGTGCTGAAGACTTTCCTTTAAAAAAAAAAAAGAAGCATATTGTTAAATCTGGTTTCTAGATTACCCTGAGTCCTACATGTTATGGTATTTTATTGAATGTTTTTATTGTATTTTTATTGTATTTGTATCTATTTAATTGTATGTCACGTTCTATCTTGTGTTTTTATAATTTTCTTGCAATTTAATGTATCTATTAACACTGTCATCTATGTGTGTTAATCTGTGAAGCCCACTGAGACAAAAGTGTTTTGTGATGTTGGGCTATATAAATAAACGTTGACTTTGATTTTTAGAAACACAAGCTCCCGTGTTCCTTCCGCTCTGCTCATGCTCACTTCTGGAGGAAACCACTGTCTCCTCATGGCAGAATCATAGTGACAAGTTATGTAATCACATTATAATTCAACGGTGTCACAAAAAAAAAATCCACCGCTATTGTTCTTGTAAATACCATCAGCAACTCTGTATTATCCAGCGATCATTCGCTCGCTGTCTCTTTCCGGCTTGTTCTTTGTTCAGGAAAAGCACTAAAGTCCTGTCACTCGCTATCGTGTCCTCGTAGCCCCCCTCGTAAGATCTCTTGACTTCTTGTCCCTTCAGACAATCCCCACTGCCACCCAGCAGCTCACAGGGGACATCAGGGCTTGACAGGGCATCAATCAGCCACGGCCACTGCTGTCCTGCGATCAATGCGAGGCTCGGCTTTGATTCATGAGAGTTGCCCCTCTGAGGGTTTTCCTTGTGTAATATTTTGACACTGGCGATATGCTTCATGCAATATTCCTGCCCATAGAACATGCTGAACTATCGCGGTGAGAGAGCGAGAGAGATGGGAAGAGATAGAGATCCCGAGAGTATTTTGTGAGCATGCTGCTGCCAGACAGGGGAGATAGAGATGGAGATAGAAAGAACTTGGGATGTCTCTATCACAGGAAATATGGTCAAAGCAAAAACAACTCCTCTCCTCTCCTCTCCTCTCCATTAGTTGAGACTCATATCCTTTGTGGATCTTTTGAATCAGAGCCAAGGGGGAGAAGCGGACAAAGACTGAGCGTAAAGACAAAGACAGTGTAAAAGGTTAAGAGCTGCGGGAAAGGTGTCAGTCCACTCTGGGGATCTGTAGAGGACACCACATGAGACAGCAGAGAGAGAGAAAGCAGACACAGTGTGTTTGCAGAACGGTGTGTATGTGCACATATGGTGAGCTCTCAGGAAATATATCCTTTTCCTAGTTCTACTTTACTCTCCACCTGCAGATTAGAGGGTCTCAACATGGACACAATCCCACTGACACCCACTAACATCACTCTTTTGTGTTTAGCGGTAAAGGTCACATTCGACATCCATTCAGGGGGACAAATGACTCTGCAGTAGTCACAGGTATTTATCGGCTCTGGCTCATGTCGGCAGTAAAGGACGACACCTGGGTGGAAACGCTCATTTAGACACATTTCTGGCATGATGATATGTGATGCATCCATAATTATTTAAAATAAAAAAGGGGTTTGGACTATTTTTATAATTTGCGAATGTACAAAAACATACTATGTATATGCTCTATTAAAATCCACTCCATTAGACTCCATTAACAGCAGTAACATTACCATATTGTGCACACTTCATTAAACTTGAAAGAAACAACATAAAACTGATCAAAACATCTTTGTTAATCTTACCAGTGATCCACAATGCCGGTATGTGTTAAAAAAAACACAAGTAACATCTGTTTATAACGAACCCTGCTTCCTGCTGTGTTTGTGCATCAAAAGTTAAATACTAGAAGTAAAAAATCGTGCTCGTGTAAAAGTCTTAAAAATGGATGTGTTTCTTTTAAGAGCCGCTGCATCATAATTGACTTAACACTAGTTGTAGTTTGTATTTAGTGTTGACTGATTATGCCATCAGATATCAGTACACAAAACATGCTGGGAATATTTGTATATCGCTTTAGATAATAGCATGGACATGCGGCAATGGTAAAGTATTTTTTGAGAAGCGTTCTGGTGTCAGTTTGTAGTCCGAGTAATATTGAACAATGACATTTGATCGGACTTTTGTTGAATCTAAATCAAGCGTCTGTGTGGATACATCTGTATTGGGCAAAAAATAATCTGGGAAACCATCGGGTACAGCAAAAGCGACAAAAGCTGACAAAAAAGCTAATAAAAAGAAAGTTGTTTTAGTTTAAATGCAGATACGGTAACTGATATATTTTCTAAACTATTTGCCTCTCATTCACATAGACATCCACTACACATGTATACACCCGAGGAGCTGCCATGGAGCACCCTGGGGTTTAGTGTCCTTCTCATAAAATGAAGACTGGCTCTATCAACTGATCAACATCCAATCCAAATATCTGTTTATTGAGATTAGCAATAATAAACAACTCTAAACTTTAACTCACTTTGAAGTTAAGCTAACCGGGCTGTAAACAATGTCCGACGCACAGAAGAGAAGCTCTTGCCCCAGACATCCATAGGCTTCACTGGGGTGCACAACATATCATTTGTTGATCCCAGAGGCTAAATCACACCGATAGCAAATGAGATCTTAGATTGGCACAGATGGCGCATTATGAATGTTGTTAACTTACATGTATGTAACCAAACATATAATTGGTTTATTTTGGAGTGTGTTTCTGCAGAAATTGTTAATTGCACGTTTCCTACATTAGTGCATGCATGGCTGTTAAACAAGTTAAAGAGTGTATCTACATCTGATTCCTCCACTTTAGCTGTGAAGAGAGTGGTGTGTATTTACATTGTGAAGTAAGACGTTTGTCACTGGGACTAAGTGATCTGTCGTGCACTACAAGTTAATATGGAAATTACTACAGAAATGATCACAAGATTAAAAAAAAGTCACAATGAAAAATGAAAAACAATTAATGGCTGTTAAATAAGCCGCAGCCATCTGAAAACCCTAAATTCTTCAACTGCTCAAGTTTAAGAGGAACCCAGTAATTATTTACTCAGGGGACAAATGAATTAGACATATGATGTGAAATTAATATGAGAATGTATTTTAAAGTCCATCTGCTCTAACAATTGCTCCACTGACAGAAACACCCACTCACTCGTGGCAAAAAGCAGCAGCGACGCATACACACGCATCGAACTCACTCACACAGATTCTCCGTTTTTTTTCTATACCTCTCTCTCTCTCTCTCTCTCTCTCTCTCTCTCTCTCTCTCTCTCTCTCTCTCCTCTCTCTCCTCTCTCTCTCTCTCTCTCTCTCTCTCTCTCGTCTCTTCTCTCTCTCTAGCTCTCTCTCTCTCTCCTCTCATCTCTCATCTCTCTCATCTCTCTCTCATCTCTCTCTCTCTCTCTCTCTCTCTCTCTCTCTCTCTCTCTCTCTCTCTCTCATTCAATCCCTATTTTTCACTCATATATTTTTGGATTGCGTTATTTTCTACTCCTGAAAACACGGACTGTTGTCACAGAGACGGGCATGAGAGCTGACAAGGACAAGCTTTAGCAGAAAACCTCCATCTGATAAGCCTCATCGCCTGGCTGAGAGCAGGAAGAGGAGTGGCAGAAAGACAGATAAACAGACAGACTGCAGGTGAGAAAAAATGATGGGAGAGGGGGGTGCAGAGAGGATGAAAGGAGCAAATGAAAGCGGGCTTGCTGTCGGTTTTTGAACTGTGGGGTCATCTGCACCCCAGGGAGCTCAGTTTCAAGTCTGCAGCGTGGTGATCGGAACAAATTTAAGCGTAGACTGGAGGGAAGGCGCTCAGATGAAGGGAAAAAGGAGCAAAATAGATTGAGCCAAGAACTGGGAATATGTAGAAAGGAGAACCATGTTTTTTCCTCACCTCCCTCCGTCCCCATGGAGAGGAATGCATTAGCAGAATGGCAGAGAAAAGCTGAGAGGTCACAACAGTGTTTCCCCCCCACAAGCACATGGAGAGAGCTTCCATCACAAGCAGGCAGCCCAGACAAGACAACATTATTAAATGAATCCTTTTCATCAGATAAACAAAAACAAGTTGCAGCAGCCACTAATTCAAAACATGCAAAACTGTGTGATTTAACTTCATCCACTGACTGTGATGTGAATGGGATGTGTTTGCCCGCCAGGAGGACTGCAAGATAATCTTGTCCCCCAGCCATCTCTCCAATAGGTCAACCTGGGTCATCCAATACTCTCTGACCCACCACCAGCTAAGTTAAGAGGCATGGACTTGTGCACCCCTGGGTTTTCTGCCAGGTGGTCGGACACGACGCTTGGATGTTAAAAGAGTCCCACATGAAAACAGTTGGACCCCCACGATGGTCTGCCACACTGTGCGCATCTGCAGCAGAGTGAGCGCAGCTGGACTCACAGCTACATGTTACACTCACTGCAGCGAGAATTGGGTGTCTGAGTAAAATAAATAAATAATAATAACACTCATGCGCGGTACCCTCCAAAATGCTCGCACACACACCGTCTATAATACCACGCACGTATACTGTGACATCCTCCACAGGCGGGTCCCCCAGGGTATAGATGGTGATGAGTGTGAGGCAGGTGACAGATTTGACCATCACGCTTTATGACTCTGGAGTTTTAAAGCATAATGGCATTGCACCTGAATACTATTGGGCTTTAGACTGCAGCCTGTCCCCATTTATCAGAAGCAATGTGAGCATGAGTGAACAGTGGAGCGGCTGATAAAGCATGATGTGATGGAGTGCTTTACTTCCCACTGCGTGTTCAGACTATTACACTATAATTACAGTTGTACCGCGTGTGCGATGGACCTATAATCACCTAATCATACCGATCAAACCCACACAGCGCGCACTGACGCGACGCACGCAAACAGCTGGAAAGAGGTTTTCAGGAGCAGTTGCAATAGAAGGATACTGAATGCAAATAGACACAGACATCATTGCGTTGTCAGCCATTAAAACAGCACAGCTCATCGAGCCTGTCAACACTACAGGTTTATTTACACAGGCACATTTCCACTGATCACAACAGGTGCAGTCTTCTCGTGCGCTGCTCTGCGGCCATCAACGGCACCGACGCATGGGCGGTCAGTGGCAGTAATCACCTTGATCACCTTTTAACACATGCACCCTGGGGTGGCACACCAAAGAGTGGTGAAGTGAAGCGTACCTGTCTGTGAAACGACTCTTCCCCCCGGTGTAAGATCCCCCCCGCTCGGTTAGAGCACCGCTGGCGGAGACGCTGAGGGTCTTTGGAAAGATGTGTTTAGTCTGTTTGCATCCGTCCTGTGCTCTTGAGGAGTCCGTCCGAAAGCCAAAGATGGACTCATTCAGTCTGTGAGTGGGACCTGCCTCGGGGATTCACCAGCGTGTCATGTGCTCTCCACTTTACAGATAGTTATTCTCAAAAAAATATCAACTGGTTAGATGAGGAGAAGGAGGTGGATGGTGGTGATGTTGGAGATTAAGTCCGTTTTAGCTGAAGCCCAGACCCTCATGAACGGCCTCCAATTCGTTTTCTACATCTCACTTCTCATCGCCATATATTGTGAATTTGGGATGAAGCAGTTGGTAGGTAGAGCCAAATCCTCGTCCTATCAGCTCGCCCAGACGGACGCCACCCAGAACGCCCACGGGTCTGGGTCTGACAAGCGGAGCTGCTGCTGCTGCTGCCGATAGACTATTATACAAGGTTTCCAAAATAAAGAATCACGATTTAATGAACTGTCAAATCAAAACCGGAGGAAGACCATGCAGTCAACAGTTAGATCGTCAAACCTGAGTGATGGGAACGGATCTCCCGTGGCTCCCGGTGCATTTATCCCGGTGACAGACTTCACATGTAGTCCGGTAAGGGAGGGGACACAGGGGCCGCGGCAGCAGAGGTACGACTGTGTAGGTGAGCTGTGGCGATCAGGTGTGAGAGGGAGAGTCAGGAAGAGAGAGAGAGAGAGAGAGAGAGAGAGAGAGAGAGAGAGAGAGAGAGAGAGAGAGAGAGAGAGAGAGAGAGAGAGAGAGAAAGTCCAAAAGGGGGAGGGAGGGTGGAAGTCGATGTCCGAGCAATTAAGGTTGCAATAGATCGGTATAGCTCCAACATTTCCCTGGGGCCGTGTGTATGTGTTTTCATTTAAACCTTTTTTCACATCTTTTTGTCATTGATGACCAATTATGGTTCTTAGGAAATGACATCAGCTGCAGTACTTAAATGATGCAGTGTGTGTCTTACACCCCCCCCCCTTCTCCTCTTTCCCCCCCAACCACCCGCCCACCCATCCTAAATCTTCTTCTTTGTAGGCCATATAGCGTCAACATTAAAGGCACTTTACTCCTCCCAAACCCCTCAATTTTTTTATTTTTTTACCATCCTCCCCCTCCAGTTATCTCCAGTGCTGACTGTCTGTGTGTTTCACTCACTGCCTCTGATTAGAATAACCCCACCACTATGCCATTTAGCCTACATCCCCTATTCTAATTATGTAATAGCCTGTGTGGCTCCTCTATTTCCCCCTGCCAGTGGGACCACAGCAGCAGCTCAATTGCAGTGTTGGCCTCAAGATTGAAAACTGTGCCTCCAGCACTGCTGCACTGTTTTAATAAAAAAAAGTGGTTAAATCAACTTCTTAAACCAGCCTCTATCTCCCTTCTGCCTATTGCAATAGTGTTGCTATAGGGAGATGGGACTGCTGTTAGTCACTGGGAGAAGAGGCTTCAGTGAGAGTGGAGATAACACAAATATAGAGGTTTCACTCTGGTGCTTTTGCAGCACATCTAATGAGTTTAAAAAAAGGTTTGAATGGATGTTCTCTTGGTTCATGGGGAAACTAGGCCAATCTGAAACACAAAGTCATTCATTCTCATATAAATCATGTTAAAGAGGTGAAGTTTCTCTGAACACATGGCTTATCTGTGGTGCTGATTTGTGGCTCTGTCCATGGTGCTGAAGGGCTTCCTCCAGCAGAGGCAGGACGAATGAAGGTGAAGTGAAGCGCCTCATGTCAGCATTTACAGACAAGCTAATCTGCATGACTGCGACTCTTTGCGACTTTGTATTCATTTGTTCAAAGGAGCCAGGATTAACTTGAGTGTTAGAGGCTATTTGTAACATGTAACAAGTAACATGTAATATGTACTTTTCATACATCATCGCTAATTATATAATAAATCCATGTATAGCTACACAAATATCATTGAGGAAGGATTGATTACACTACATTACAAGTTAGACGCTTTTATCCAAAGCGACTTACATACTGTGGACAATCCCCACAGGAGCAATTTGGAGTGAAGTATCTTGCCCAGGGACACAACGACTGACTGCAGTGGGGTTTGAACCTGTGAGTGACCCCCTTATCCGAACACCAACGCACAACCCACTCCGCCACACGCCTCCTTGGCGGATTGATAAAGCCTTATTTCATTATTATGAACTCCACCCCCAACAATAACACTTTATGTTCACTTACTAACTTTGTAACAGCCCAAAGCTCCTGACCATTAATTGATGGACAACTTAGAAGAAATCCAAATATAAGCTTTTGTTTGTTTTTTGACATTGTAATAATGTAAGACATTGAATGCCACACAACTACACACAAGTCAATGACTTATTTCCATTATAGTTGATGTGAAAACACAAAACTACATGTGACATCATAATAGAAAAAAAAGGCCTGCTCATTTTCCAACACTTAACTCAAAACAAAACAATCTTGAGCAATAAATAACCCTACAGGTAAGAGGACACATGTATTTTTAAACTCAACTGAAGGGAGCGTCATTATTCCAATATGATGGAACAAGTGTCACTTAAAGGTGTTAATATGGGTTGATCTCTGAAGACCCTTATACACATTAAAATTCAGTGTATAAGTAAAAGTAAATATAAAATGGTGAATCCTTGAATGTAATTTAAAACTATAATGTAAATGATATAATCTAAATACTGGGTCCCATGCAGGTGCTTTTTTTGTATTTCCTGCAATGTTACGGGAGTCCATCTGCTGTCCAAACAGGACACAGCTGTGTGGCGGATCATGGCTCAATTTTCTCAGGTGTTAAGAAATCCAATTTAGTTTAGGTAGAGGGTGAGTTGGTTCATTATCCGGCAAAGATGGGACATTTGGAATACATTCACACTCACACAATAACAAAATAACATAATTACAGTTCCTCCGTCAGTTTCCATCAATTCAAACCTCTTCATTGAGTTCAAAAACTGGACTTATTTTTGAGCTGTGTAGTTCCCTGCTGTCAGACTGACTAATACACTTCACCCTGAGTATGACATGGATTTTACTTTAACTGCTGTATCCTGCTAAGTGACCTGAGAGGATTGACAATTGGCAAAAACTCAGGCTTCACAAATACAAAGGGCGTAGTCATGAAAGGAAGTCTAAACCATCAAATAGAACCACAGGGACACGCCAACATGGACTCTGACCTCACAGCAAATCAATACAGGCGTCATGTTGCCAATCAAAAGTGGCCGCCCTATTTCTTCCTGTAATGTTTGCTCTGTCAGACCACTTATTGCTCACTAATAGAGATACAGTGTGCTCTTATAGCCTTCGGCAGGATGTAATCACTAAATGGGACCATGTCTAAAGCATACCCTGAAGTGACAGACTTTACACTTTTTTATCAGATTGTTGACAGTGGAGAGTTTCAAGAAATATAAAGGGATACATGCAGTACAAAGTCTTAAAAGGGCTTATTTTGAATCGTGTGCATAGGCGAACCTCAAGACTTAAATCATGTCAAATCTACATTGATAAATCAGCAAAAAGAAGAAAATAAGATTGAAAAACTAAGCATAGGCTGATTAAAAAAGAATAATTGGCAAGGTTGGATTTATAGACTGAAATAGTCTCTGTTGAGGTCGAACTACAGCGGTCTGCTGAACAAGAACATTAGCATTTCAAAGTTCCCGTTCAGATTTACCCATTTATTTTCTCCATGACAGTGAAAGGGGACGATAATGTGCTGCTTTAAGAGCCTCTTTCATACTGCTGTATTTATCTAAATGAAAGTGATTTCTTGAAGGGCGTTAAAGTTTATGATTTTAGTTGAGTTTTATAATGATTAAGCTCAAACTAGAGATAATGGAAAATGAACTGCACCTTTCTGTCTTTATGCTGCAGAGTAAAGCTAAAGAACACACAGACCTCTTCTGTACGTACACTCCTGGTACTTCTTATATACATTCTGTCTGCTTTGTAAAGTTGCAGCTACCTTGATCTTGTTTCCGGCTCCCACATGAAGTGGGAACCTGGCAGCGACGGCAACATGAGAAAGGAGATTATGGTTTCAGATCACAACCCTGCTGTATAATACATCTCTCCAAATCTCCCCTCATTTAAATATTTCCATTATCCATTCCACTCAACATCCCTGCCATGTTTTGTCCAAGTCCAGCAGCTACGATGACCTTCTAAGCAGAAAAAACAGCTTCCTGTCAGCCGGAGTTTTGCGCCATAGACATCATCAGAAATTAATTTAAAAAACCCTAAGGAGGTTCATTTAAATTCACCTGTGTACCTGGGATTAGTAACAGGGCGGTATGGTAAATCAATCAGCGGGTAAGTGTGATGTAGTGCATTTGTGAGCAACCATGAATTAGTAAAGGCTTGGTGAATGACCAGAGAGACTGTCATGGCCTGGCTCTTGGCCATAACAAAATGCGTGGGAAGGACGAGAACATATATGAAAAATATATTTATTAACAGAAGCTTAACGTAAACCAACAAACTAACACAAAGGAAAAACAAAAGACGAAGCGACGTAGCTGCTCCGAGGTCAGGTCTTCTGCGGGAGAGAGATTGCGGGTCTCATTCAGGCCCTTTAACACTCTGGTACCAGCCGCCAAGTGTCCTCAATCCCAGCTGATAGACCAAAGAGAAAACCTTAAAGACACACACACACACACACACACACACACACACACACACACACACACACACACACACACACACACACACACACACACACACACACACACACACACACACACACACACACACACACACACACACACACACACACACACACACACACACACACCAGAGATAACAAGGCAGGGGTCGTCACAAGAAACAGACATCAATTCTAAACAGGTAAAAGCCGGACCTGACATACATTTAAAATTCAGTCGCAACTTTTCACCGCAAAGGTCATCCAGCCAAAAATAAGCTCGGCCATCATGTGCACTTATAAAAGCCCGCTTCCAAACACACACAGATAATGCATGTCCAAGTAAATATACAATATATTCAGGAGCTGGAGGTAAAACCTAAAGTTCCTCCCAGGGAGGTTACGTCTGCAACATCTCATAAATAATGCAACACTGACCGTATTTTTCATCCAGACCTTTGCAGAACAGAATGTCTGCAGAAACAACTGCTGGCAGATGTGGCACACAAACATTAAACAAGATAATGGACACTATGAGACCTCTTAAACATGACTGACATTAGGTTGTGAAAAATGTAGACTGAGTGAGTAGAGAAAATAATATATATATTCTTTTTTTTTTATCGTTTTGCTTCGGGCACTTAAGCTTAAGCCGGAGGCATATAGTGTCCATGGTTAGGGAGTGAGGTGTTGAGGCACTACATATTCCAAAAATAAACATAAATGTGTTACGGTACTTAAATAATTATGAGTATGGATTGGTGTGAAAAATGGGACTTTTTTTGGTACACTAAAACAAGAGCAACAATAGTGAAAGGCTGAATCAACAGTAGCAATCCTAATGAATGTTGAACAGATATTTCGGTTAATACTAATATTACACTTGCAAACAAAACTGGATTAAAGATATGACTGTATTTTATCTGTGTTTTAATGACTCAGATATGATAGTCTGAAGGTGACATTACTGAGGAGAATACCTGGATAAAACAAAGACTGTTGTTTTTACGGAGGTGACC